AATAGGAATAGCTGGGTCGTTTATTAGCAAAATACAATTATAACAGAATATTTATGACAAAACAGCAAAAGTCTAAGAAGGAATCTGTTCAGACAACTACTGAGAAGCGAAAATGCAGATATGTTTCCTTTACTCTGAATAAGAAATTTTACTTGACCAATCTGTGATAATACCTATACCAGTGACAAGAATTGATTTAATTACGTGGGCTGATTATCACACCTCTGATCAGCCCTCTTAGGCTGGTTTCTGTTGAAACCTAGGCATGAATTTACGAAGCTCACCTGGCTTTTGCCAACTTATGTCGCTTGTGGTAAAAGTGATATACCCATTCTCGTTTAAGCTGAGATGATACTGCTTACGTCTTAAAAGTAAATGACACTCATAAGTTACTAGTGCTTTAGTATAGGTATGTTTAAAAAATTGTTTGCGGATAGTGAGATTATATTGCGAACAATGTTGAGGTCAGACGAAAGATACTAGGAGAAGGTGATAAATTTGCTTGTGAGCTTGTAAATCTTTATCACTTAATGTGGCTTGCAGATTAGTAATATTTATTTGTGTGAACACATGAATGTTGATACGGAGGGCACCCAGTACATGTGCGCCACACAATATCAATGAGAATATGAAGAGATAGAGAATTTCAAGTGTGTATAAGAATAAGGAGAACAATAACGAAGAGAAATTAATGTATGGAAGTGAAATAATAAAATAATAATGGGTGAGGCTGTTCAGTTGGAAAAGGTACAACCATAAGGAATTCTTCCAGTTAAAGAGGAATTCTCTGGGACGACATTCGTAGAACATGTCCAAGCCACCGAAGTCGGTGTTTCAAGATGGTGACACCAATTGAATCATCGTCTCTGCGCCCGAACACATGATGCTGAACCTCTGCACTATTATCATGGTGTTGCCACTGGATGTCAGCAATTCTTCCGAGACAACGATGATCAAACACAGAGAGTCGCCTAACATCCTCAACTCAGAGAAACTAGGTCTCACAAGTATAGAGAAAAACTGCTCTAATCGACGCGTTGTAGATCCGACTTTTTACAGCCAGATTAACATCACGAAGGCGCCAAAGATGGCCCAGATAAGCATAAGTCTCTCCGGCTTTCACTATACATGGATTGATCTCATCATCACGCCCTCACTCTAACTGAGGTGTTTGTAATATAGGGCTTTTAAGATCTTAATAAACTTCTCAAGCACAACCTTCTTCAATAGACAATCCCAGAGAACAGTCCTGTCCAACGAATCGAAGACAGCCCTGATATCTAGAAACACTACGATTGTTGGCCAGTGATAAATATGACGATGTTCTAACATTTAGCGGAGGGTGAAGATATAATCAATGCATCCTCGACCATAACGAAAACCAGTCTGCTCCTCACGAGTCAATCCTTCTCGGGTTTTGAACAATCTACGAAGTGTGATGGAAGCTAATAGTTTGGACACATTTGGAAGTAGACTCATCCCCCGATAGTTGTTACAGAAACGATGTGAACCCTTTTTAAACATAGGAACAACTATTGACTCATTCCATGATGTTGAAATACTCTCTAACTCTCAAAACTTTGTAAACAACTCAGACGGTTGCTTAACCAGAATGTCACCACCATTTTTTAGAAGGGACGGAGGTCAGTCATCTGGACCTGGTGACTTGTAGAGCTTCAATAGTTGGAGTTCCTTGCGGACTTTCGTCTCGTTAGGTGGATCAGTAGTCACAGGCCATGGAAGACAGAGCAGTTTGATCTATGTTGCCGAGGCAGCAGACCAGTTGAATTGCTCCTCGAAAAACTCTGCTCATCGTCTAAGACGTTTATAGATGTCGGTGATTGGCATCCTCTCATCCTCACAGATTGTTTCGCTCTCAACAAACTTCTTGCTGACATTGACTCGGATGACTTGAAAACGTTTCCGGCAGTTACTATATGCAGCTGCTGCTTAAAACGTGTTGACACACTCCGACTACCAGGTTTCCCGGTCCTTACGCAAGCTTACCTAACTTCAATACGTAGTAGTTGTCATTTGCGGCCAAACTCACGGTCATCCGGAGTAGACCGACAGGCTTCAATAAGTTGTAAGGAGCCTGAAGAAACGCGAAGCTTAGAAGCGGGACGTTTCACGAAGCCACAAGAGACTTTACTAGTCATTTTCATGGCGTCATACAATTTCACCCAATGCTCACCCATACTTTTCGGTGGGCTGGTAGCTAGCCTTGAACCTAGCTCGAATTGATATTTAGTTGCAGCAGGATCTAAAACCAACTTACTGACATCAATCCGTTGATGACGGTCAATTCGTTGGCTACTGAAAAGTAAAGTAAGATTAGCCTAAACCAGGGCATGATCAGAGTCCAGATGGGTACTCCAAAAGGGGCGTCAGTCTTGTACACAACCACGCCAGCGATCAGTCAGTCACAACATAGAATTTTGTGCGTACGTACATCAGTTCGAGTTGCCATACCACATTATCACAGAGATGCAGTTATCGATTCAAATCCCATAGTGGTAGAGGTAGTAAAAATATAAGCAGTAATCGGAAAGATTAGGGTTTGAAGATGTTATTGAAGGAGTATAATCCAGTGAAATAAATTTGGATAGAGGAAAAAGAAAGGGACACGGAGAATTCAGAAGATCAGAACTTGAGAGAACACAAAGAGTGGATGCACCCTCGCCACTGCAAACGATTCTGAGCCATGTCATTCAAGGTCTCTAACCATCGATTGCTATCATCTCGCGAATCCCACCTACGTAGTCTGCACCTACCAGCATGGCTCAGTCCACTTGTCAGTGACTTCATGGATTTGTATCACGTTTTGGTCTGGCCGCCCCCTGCTTTCTTGCAACCTATTCCTAAACCATAAAACATAGCACGCAGGCGGTAGCTGATCGCGATGTGATCAGTCTGAGTCCAGGCTTGAGATGCAGGAAGTGGATGCCAGGTTGCACATCAGAGATGATTGTTCCTGTAGTTAGTGCTAGCCAAAACAGGTTGTGGTCTGTTAACAATCGCAGCAGACTGTTTCCGTTATCTGAACACAAACCAACAAGTCCCCATCGGCTACATAAACGACTTTCTTCTGTGCCTAGACGCCTGGCCTGTGTATACACGTATCCGGCTAGTACCACAATATCTATCGGGCGCAATTTCTGTAGAAGAACTTTTAGCTGATGATAAGACATCCTTGATCACATCCGGACTGCAATCTATTGGAGTATCGGCGGAGATGACGAAAAACATCGTCTCTGACACCGGTTTTTTCTCACGTTGATGGAACTTTTTAATCTAACAGCACATAACCGACTGTTAGTGCGAATCCAATTGATCAGTGCTGTTTCAACTTTATCGCTTAGTGCGACACCGACGCCAGCAAAACCAGACGAAGATGTCACAGGATCTCCGGATAAACGCACGTGAAACAAGATTTTTGAAGAGACAGATGGGAAACGAATTTGTAGCACTTTAATATAGTCTTTAATACGGGTCTCGGGTAGACAACAGACGTCGATATTAAGATTTCCTAAAGACATAGCCAATCCTATCTGTTGTCCAATCTGCATTAGTGTGTGAACGTTGAAGGAAGCCAGTTTGAATGGTGTACGTGGTTTCAGAAAGACTGTTTCAGTATTCGTATTCAGTGGTAGCATTCAATTTTCGACCGGTCAGTGACTCGAGATCGTTTGGATATAACAGGGTTTCCACTATAGGCGAGCTGCTGTTGAAGTTTAAAAATAAGCATACACAAAGTGAGAATAGAAGGGAGTAGATAGGTGACGTAGCATATAAAAAAATTAAAATAAATGTTATCAAATGAATGTGAATTGATTGAATTTTAATTGAAGCGAGAATAGCATTTCCAGTATTATTTGTCATTTCATTTGATTTGTTTGTGGGTTGTGATACTGTCCGGGTGCCCAGACTGAAGCACGTCTTTTTTAGGGGGCCACATCCGCAGCCTTTAACCTAAAGGTCTAATCCACAAGGCAGTAGAGCAACATCAGGAGGTGCAGTCCCATGGTAACCAGTGACCAACGATTGGTCCATACGCCATTTGTTCCTTCAGGGTTCTGGAGCCCATGTACACCGTTCGTTTGAAATCAGGGTTTTCCAATTTCTCTAGGTGGACTTTCCGTGTCCACCAACCTGGTTGAAGTACCAGACATTCTCTTTTCGTCCTCTCAATTTCGTAAACAACAGTAATGCCTTGGGAATGCATTAAGTAGGACTTCCCTGGGAGTGATTGTATACGCATGACCATGTGAGAGCATTTCGAGAAGTGGAGCGAACTCTCCTCACCCTTGGCAGTACCACGGCTTGCAGACGTTCTACATATATTCCACCACTGTCTTCTTCGACGCGTGTTGTTTGATTCGAATAGTAATATGTTAAAAGGAATATTAGAGCGGTTAAATACAGACATGTTTTATGTCCATAAAATGATCACCTGTTTGTTCGATTTCTGTAGGTAGGTGTAATTATCATCAGTAATGATCGAAGCGACTAGGTGTTATAGCTCGAAATTGACTTTTAAGCATGTTTACGTTTGTGAAGCATGAAAACTATCAAACCATTATAGACAAGCAGAGATGGATGGTGTCTAGAAGTGGAATCCAGAACGCTCGTTTCGTCCTATTTGGGCTCTTCAGCTGAATGTACCAGTGTTGATCTTCACTCTGTGACTCGAACCCAGTACCATTCGCTTTAAACGCCATCGTGCTTTGTACTTAGTTACTGAGATCAGTTAGCCACTAGCTTGTGCAATCGCCTGAAGTTTTAATTCATTTTTGCATTGGTTGTTTGATGTTTAGGACTGCAGTTGATCATTCTATCATTGGCATATGTGCATCTTGTCCGGATTGCCTTGATATTGCTCTAGATCACAAGCATTATATGTTGTAACCAGGGTCCTTTCCCTGTGTTTATTACGAGTTATTTTAACCTTTTAGTGCCTACAATAATCAACCACCTTTTTATTATTTTCATTATTTCAGGACGCTTTACCACAGCTGTTATACGAGCGAAAAAGGCCTTCAGGAGTCGGATTTCGGAACGGCAAGGAACAGTATGCATCTAAGGTCTTTGAAAATAATATTTCTTTCTTTCAGAAAAAAAACAACTTTATACTTAGATGTTTCAAATATAAAGAGTGTGTAAAGTTTGTACCAGATCCCACTAAACCTCAGCGTCCACATGGTCACTTTCAGTAATATTCAGGTTTTTCTATACAGTTTCTTTAGATGCTATTGTGGAGAGCTGGACTACAAACATCATGACTGTATGTGATAGACTTATGATTTATAATTTAGTTCTATAGATGAGAACATGGTCAAGAATAATAATGATAATACGTGGACAGAATCGAATGATATAAAAATTATTGGACCGACGAATGCTTTTGGTCAAATTGAATTCTCTGATTCGCCTATTCAAAAACCAACAGAGGTAACTTCTAAATGATCTTATTGGGTTGGCACCGTTGTATTTCTCATTTATTTATTTATACAGATTATAAATTATCATGACCGCTTTGTTTAGATATTTTCTCCTCAGTAGTTGATTGAAATAAACTCCATTTTCTTTTTATGGTCAAGTGTTATATAATTATTCTATAAGTAGTTGTTGTGTCTGACAACCTATTATACTATTCTTTGCGGTTTTGTTCATTTAGATTTGAAATTTGAAGAGATCATTTTGAAATTTTCGCGTTTAATTTTGTTTATCTTAGTTATTATGTTCCGTAAATTCAGTTCACAATAGATGTAGTCTATGTAAAACAAACAATAAGACCATTGAAAGGTTAACTTTAGTTTCATATATTGAATTCCTGAATTATTATTTCATCATTTATATATCATCTTTCATATTTGTATTTAATAGGACACATTTTTTAGTGTAATAAAAGATCACGCCAGAACATATAAGATTAAATTTTCTAATTTGTCTACAATCTCAACTGCTGTTTATGGTAGTTGTATTTGTATTTATCAAATATTCTTAATAATGGTCTAGTTTAAACAATGAAAAATAACCCTTTCACTATTCTTAAAGAGAACTCAAGTGATCTTTTTCGCTGGACATTCTTGCTAGCAACAAATTTGAAACATTTTGAATATGATAATTTGTTGTGCTAAAGAAGCTGTGCAGGGCTATTAGTCTTAGTATTCATTTCTTAAAGTTCACGTTATAGGATATTTAGATCTGTGATGATAAATTATTCAGTGACTTCATTATGATTCTGTAGCATTTAATAATCATTGAAGTGGTATTATACTTATCTATTCCTGAATTCATTGTTTCTATTACGTAAAGTACCACAAATGTATGGATCTACTAACTCTTTAAAAGGCGATAATTACACCATTAGACCTATCTTCAACATCTTTACAAAATATTAAATAAGTATGGAGACAGTTACAAGCTTGTTAAGGTATTATTATTCATTTACATCTGTTTGTTGTTCACTGAAGCGCCTGTAATATCTCTCCGGATGAATCTATGCAAACGTTTCGATATACGAGTTTACGTATTCCGTGCTTACTATATCTACTCGTACTTGTTAAATTACTTGTTAGTTTTCTAACACATACTATTGATTTATAATCAGTTTATCATTGAGCAATGATCAGTGTTATGTTCGTTTAGTCCTTTAGTGCTGATTGAATCCTGTCAATCAAGTTTTAATTTGGCTGATGAAGACCAAATAACCCAAGACTTAAGGCATTGGGTTTCTTATAAACTACTTCCAACCACCTATCGTGACTACTCGTTAATCAGTTAGTTGTATATGACTCATTGATAATAGGTGGTCAGTCGCGGCTCGACTAACTCAGTAGTGTGGCATTTGGAACTTCTAAGTCAGTTAGCATTGTTTCATCAATCCTCTTTAGATTTCAAGTATACCTGACTAATAGGTGCCAACTAGCACGAAACTTAGGTCTAATGCTTTCTACCAACTGCCTTCAACCACGTAACATCTATATAATATGTCGAGAAATGCTGGAACTAACGACATGTGGTATGTTTCTTTATGTTATTATTGTCATTAGTAGACGTAAATTTATCAGAAGGATACTCGTCACTAAACTTTTAGCTCTATTCTTTACAACACAATTTTATGAAAGTACAAATATTTTAACGATAGATCGAAATCTATTGTAATTTTCAAATTTCTGACAAATAATATATTTGCTTATAATGCTTGTGAATTAAGGCAATACGCACAGTACGCACATATGCAAATAAGAGACTGACCAGTTGCAGTCCTAAGCATCAATGGGAAGATTTAAACAAAACAATACTAAGTGAATTTAAACTTCACCCCATTGCACAAGCAAGTAGCTATCAGGACTCAGTAGCTGGGTGGATAACGTGACGACGTTTGAAGCGAAAGACACTAGGTTCGAGTAGTGGAGTGAACATCAACTCTGAGATGCAGGTACATCCAGCTGACAGGTCCCAAAGAGGACGAAACGCGCTTCCTGGATTCCACTGCTAGCCACTATCCATCTTTTCAAATAATATCTACATTGTAAAAGAGCAGCAGTGACTTGGTAACATGTACAAAACTAATAATAAAGTCACCTCACTTTTTTGTTATGACAATTTTGTCATACATTTTTCTATTTTTAAATAAAGACAGAACAAATATTGATGCAGAATAATATGAATTCATTATATTTCGTGGTTTTTCATCAGCTGCTTACAACCAAATATGCATTAGAGTTTTAGCATTGGGGTAATAAATGTCAGTCGTTCCATTCTATTTATCACCCCAATGCTAAAACTCTAATGCATATTTGGTTGTAAGCAGCTGATGAGAAACCACGAAATATAATGAATTCATATTATTCTGCATCAATATTTGTTCTGTCTTTATTTAAATTCTTAAAGGGAACTAACTGCATGGAATTTCTATTTTTAAATAATAATGTGGTGTCACTTTTATGGTGTACTTTACTAAATAAATTTGTTGAGTACTATTGTAGTGAACAGAACACTTGTTGGGGACAATCGAATGTATTTAAGCAAAATTACAGACTATCTCAGTAAATTCTGAAAACCATACAATGAACAGTCAATTTGCAAATAAACAACCAATTGTTTCAATCTTCACTGTTTCTTCTCTAATTCCACTGCTCATGCATTTTCCAAACGATTGCGCTTCATTTCAGTTCTTTCCTCATCGGTCTTCTGCCAAAATACATTCTATATCTGACCCACACCATATACTACTTATATGGATATAAGTAGACCACACCACACTATATCAACATTATTTTTGTAGTTAATAAGTATGTGGATTAATTAATTTTATAAAATTATCAAAAGAATGTTGAATACTTTTCAATGTTAGGGTATTCTAATTATTTAAATTAACTGATTGATCTGAAGTATAAACTTACCATAAGATGAAAGAAAGAAAGATGGTTCAAAAGAAAAACTCATCATCTACTCAAGTCAAAATAAAGTTTCTTTCACTTATCAATTATACGAATATTCTTTCTTTTCTAGTGGAAGTAGACTAATTTAACACCATCCAACGTTGATAATTATTTGTTTTCTATGCAAGTTGTTGTTATTATTGGTTCAGTTTTTGGAACTTTACCCATCAACAGATTGGAAGGTGAAATTAACAAAATGAAAAACAGAGAAGGAAACGTTGCTCTGACTTCAGTGGATATATAAGATTCAGAAGCATGGTTCTAGCATAGTGGTCCATATATATATATATATATATATATATATATATATATATATATATATAAAGTTAACTAATTCTTTTTTATACTTTCAACATATTATTTCCATTCTGTACAATTCCAGTTTGTTCGAATTTCGGATGAAGATAGACTTGAAGACGTAATGATACTAATGAAAGATTATTGGAAAATGATGGAACCGGAAAAACCAAGTCTTTGCATATCTGTTATCGGTGGTGCAAAGAGTTTTGTTCTTGATGGACATAAAAAAGATGTTTTCTATTCGGTTAGTTATTATATTTATTACATTTCTTAGTTCAATATATGATAAATTGTTAATGTTAATTAGTACCTGTTTTTAACCTAATAGGTTTGAGTAAAAAGTATGCTTAATGCTTCTTCAGAGTTCCCTTGATGACTATTTCATTCGGGAAACTGAGCATATTTAACAAAAAGGTTAAATCATATTCTTCCACTCTTTAATATTTCTTGAACACTGTACTACACATTACGTCTACCAAATCAAAAACAGAATTGAATGGGGCTACAATCAGCCCGAAAATATAAAAAAATAGATAAATAAAAAATTTAAAAAGTTTACATTAGAATCCTGTAACATGCAAATGCGTACACTCACTCTAATTGGTTAAAAATAGACTAATCAACGTTTTGCGATTTGATTTTAAAAAAAGCATGAGCAGAATGACGTGAATTCACTATATTTCATTGGCTTCTAGTCAGATGCTTACAACCTGTAGTAATTACAGTAGGGGTTTTCATTACTTGCACAGATGACTTTAGTTAGAAATCGTTCCGAACACACATCAGTGCTGTATATTGAGGAATTAGATAAATTTAAGAGATTAGGTAAAATATTTCAAATACTTATTTTATGTAGAACATTCTACAATACTGATGGTAACAAAAGACCAAGTGATTAAATAATGGACAAACGTCAAAAAGTCAGAGAAAGATTAACAAGTACCTCATTTTAAATATAGAAATTAAGTTTCTAACACCTGTCATCACAATGATTCCAACAAATTTCAAAAGAATGGAACCTTGATTGTTTATCAGTTATCTTGAAAGATTCCAAAGTATAGAACTAAATCTATTATTGTTCAGTGTGATAAAGATTTCTACTTCTATAATAAATCGACCTTTTTTGATTTTATTGTAGTGGTTTACTTAACAATAGTAAACTTGAAATAATACATTCTCCCTAGTATTTATTTAAAAAAATATGATAACACTTCGTTTGCTGACATTCATGAAGCTTTATTTGATTTGTAAATTGTGATCACACCTATTTGCAAATGATTTCCAATGCTGTAGTGTGGTCTACTTATATCCTCATAAGTAGTATATAGCGATGGTCAGACATAGAATGTATTTTGGCAGAAAACCGATAAGGAAAGAACTGAAATAAAGCGCAATTAATAGGAAAATGCATAAACAATGAAATTAGGGAAGATGGATTGATATTTACAGAAGGAACAGTTAAGATTGAGACCATTGATTGTTATTTCGCAAATTAACTGTTTGATGTATGGTCATCAGTATTTAGTGAGATAGTCTGTAATTTGTGCTTAAATACATTCGATTGTCCCACCAGTGTTCTTGATCACTACAATACTACCTGTAAGGAAATATCAGCATAATTACATCATTTAGCTGTTTGATTAATGTATATGCTTGAATTAAATCCTACCCAGCATGTATTACAAAGTATTATGTTTATAAATAGTGACATAATTTCAGTTATTTATAGAATCCGTAGATTATTCATTATTTGACTAAATTTATACTTGTTCATCTTATTCATCTATTAGTATCAAGGCCATAATGTACTTCCGTAACGAAAATACTTTAAAGAAAAAATAAAATGTATCATCTCTGATTAGATAATTGATGACATTAAAATATCTTGTGTTATAAAAGGAAGCTATAAATGCAGATTTTCAAGAAGATGTTCATATATATTTCAAACTGAAAATAACGTATCAGTATAGGATTGTCGAGATTGTTGAGTTATAATTGAGATCATGAACTAATCAATGTCAGACCACCAATAGAAACCTGGAAGCACTGGACGGCCATTCCGTCCTGGCATGCAACCCACCAGCAGTGTGCATTCACTGTCGCGCTCGCGGAATTCGAACTCAGGACCTCCAGTCTCGCGCGCGAACGCTTAACCTCCAGCGACTAGTTTCGAGAGGTGATTCTCAGAGTTTTAGTGAGAAGCCGTAACCAGTAGAGTTCAATCGTGTCGGGTATGAGGCAGTTCCTCACCAAAGACAATGAAAGATGATTGCTCATTGTCGTGGATTAGTTGAATCTAGACATTAGCACCGTTGGATGCAAACCCAGTGGTCTAGATGTCGAGTTCGCGCGCGAAACCCAGGGTCTTTGGTTAGAATCCCGCATACGGGATCGTGGTTGCTCACTGTTGAGAAGTCCCATACGGTTGTTATCTATTTTTCACAAACATTTCTCTACCACCTATAGATAATACCATTATCAGTATAAATGAATTTGTGAGTTAATAGTTGAAAGTTAAGTGTTTTGCTCTTTACTTTACGCTCTTATTTGTGAGATAATGTTATAAAACATATTTTCAAAATCAAATTAACTAGTCCGACAAACCACATATAGAAGTTAAATAATAAGTTTTGCATTCAATCACAACATTTTCTTATCCAAATAATATAACATGTAGTAACAAGAGTATACGTGTTTTGGACATTAAAACGATGAAACACCTACTAATTAAATGACTTAGTAATGGTAAAATTAGACGAGTCATTAGTGGGAGGAGGGATTACAATTTTCTCACATTATTGTATAGCATACAATCTAAGTTTATTGTTTTCTGTTTCTCACATTTAACTATTCCACACTGAATCCAATTCACTGTGTTGATCGATAAAAATTTGGTAATATAACAGTCACGGCCCAAATTGCTCAGTGATGACGTCCCTGACTGTGAAGCTGGGTGACACGGGATCGAATACGTTAGGGAGCATCAGTCCCCTCAAGATTACAGGTGCACCTTGCTGACGAGTGCCAAGCAGCATGAAACCCGGGTCCAGGGTTTCCTGATGACCACCTCCAACCACCATCTTATCTCAACATAGTGCACGCGGTGTCGAGCCACCTAGACTAGTAGCCACATTGCAACTTGATCGATAGCATTCGATCAGCACTAAGAAGGACTTGACACGCATGACATTGATCACTAACTAGTGATCAATCAATTGTAGTAACAGTGATTATTCTTCAATAACCAGCTAATGAGTTACTGTAATGTTCAGTGAAGTTAAATAACTGCTGACATGTAAACAGATATTTTTGGTATTCTTTTTTCAAAAAAATTGAGAGGTGTCATTATTCTTATTTTAATAACATATATTGATTCTAACTTATTCATGTCTATCTATATTATCTTTATTATATATAATTTTCCAATATCTATGTACCCTATATCTATTCAATCGACTGTGATTATACTTTATCTATATTTAGTATTACAGAAAAATATGTGATAAGTCCTGTTGATTGAACGATATACTCGGATCCTAAGCTAGTCTTGAACCCCCAAGCTAGAACTACACAGCGACTTGAACACGAGAAAAAAGGCACAAAATATGTGGGAATAACTTTACTCCAAAGGTTTATTTATTTATAGAGAATATAGGGTTTTTATAGTATTTTAGAAGTCCTTGGATTTTCCTGAAAATTCTAGAATACTACTAAACATAGTAGTAGTGTAGTAATCAGCCAATTAGAACCTCTACATATGACTTCATTTTCGCGATATTTTTAGCAAGACTTCTAATCAAACGCTGATTGGATAAAATGCTTCTTAATGTTTTCTTGAGCTTGTCATGTCTATTGCGAGTAATTTGCAGGATCATCCAAACAGTATGTTTCTATGAAAATGGAGGAAAATCAGACAAATTATGTGTTTGATGTGTTCTTCACCTTCCTTTTTAAAAAATACATTGGGAAGTAATATAATCTTAGTCTCTGTAAATATCTTTCTTAATATATGTAGGAATTCTCCATAATGCCTTGTTGTTGTTGATTAGTTAAAGAAAAAAACTGTATACTTTTTGGTTGATTATGAAAATGTCACATCTTCATCAATCAAGGTGCATTAACAGACATTCTAGTTGTTTCAAAGCTGTAAACATTAGAAATAATAATATTTCTTATCATTAAGATTGAAAACAATCGAATCTTTCAATGTTTTCTATAAAGTTATCTAACCCTATTCAATTTTAATATGTATAGGGTTTAGTTCAAGCTGCACTAAGTACCAAAGCATGGATTGTAACGTCTGGATTAAATTTGGGTATTGTACGAATGGTTGGCAAAGCATTACAAGATCAAAAGTTTCATTTTGATGAATGGAAACCATCTGAATCACTTATTTGTCTTGGTATTGCTCCTTGGGGTTATGTGTTGAACCGACAAACACTTATCTCAGAAGTAAAGTCTCATTAAAAATTTATTTATTTATTTATTGTGAATAAATTATTTTACATTTTGGCCCCCCAAATGCCCTGGTACGGCAGATAGTGGAGAGAGTCCGCTCTTCCCCTCGAAATGCTCTTACTTGGCCACGCGTATATCGCGTCTGCCAGGGAAGAACTATTCATTGCCTTCTCATGGCGGGGGTGTTCTTTACGAAATTGAGAGGAAGAAAAGTGAATGTCCGACGCTTTAACCGGGTTGGTGGACACGGAGGGAGTTGGAAAACCCTGATTCCAAACCAATGGTGCAAATGGGCTCCAGTATTCTGATGGAACAAACAGCATATGAATCCATCTTTGGTCACCGGCTACCATGGGACTGCATCTCCTTACGATGCTTCACTGCCTTGTGGATCAGACCTTTAGGTTGAAGGCTCCGGCTGTGGCCCCCTAAGAAAACCAACTGCTTCAGTTTGGGAACCTGGGCAGTATCACAGCCCTCACAGAAATCAAATGAGATCTAAGCGGTGCATATATATCTGGTGCTCCTTTGTACCAATATTTATATGTTTAAATAAATAAATAGATAAAATATGAAATACATAACAATGACGTTTGGACTATTTATTGTCTAAATTTATAACTATGTTATAACTAATCAAATAAATGTATTGACATTCCGAAGAAAACTACTGATTCCGAACAACACTTGTCATATTTTTACATGTCAAATTTAAATAGTCTAGTTTGAAAAAGTTTTAAACGGTTTCAATTTTCTTGTTATTGATATGAGGAGATTCAATTGATCAGGCTCTTTCTAGTGTATGTGGATCTTGAGCAAATAGCTTCGATAATGTCATCCAGTCACAAATTTTTAAATACAATCGAATTCAGGACACGCGTTTCGTTCTATTCGACACTAATCAGTTGGACGTTTAGTTATTGCTATCGACTTTTCTACTTCAGCGTTTTTCTCAGTTTAAAGATTCATTGTACAATTTCACTAGCATTATAATATGAAATAATGGTGGCTAGCAGTGAAATCCGCTCTTCGTTCCATTGGGTACCTGCATCCCAGAGTTGATCTTCACTCTGAGACTCGAACCCAGTACCGTTATCTTCAAACCCCATCTCTTTATCCCCTTAACACATATGCTAATAAGAGACTGATCAATTGCAATTCTAAACATCAATGGGAAGATTCAAACAACCAATACAAAGATGAATTTCACTAGTGTTGTAGTAATTGTCTAGTTTTATTCTGAAATATGGATCCTATACAACGAAGGTTCCATCACACTAACTTATATTAATCGTGGACATTGATTACAAAAATGTGAAAGTTTTATATAAATTCATATTATAAACCACTACTAAACTAAATATAATAGACTTTGTATTTAACTGATAATTATAGCTAATTCGTTTTGTACCTTTATTCTTGTATGTCAACTGGCCATCAGAAAAGAAATATGCTGCACATGGATAATCAGATAACGTTGAACGAAAATAAAATGGGGTTAAGCGTTATTGTAAAAAAATAATACGTGGGCAAGAACTGTATATAATCGGAAATACTGTTCGCCTAAAAATAGAACAAAGGAAAATTTATTCCAGTTTAAAAAGTTCTCACTTCTGAAGAAACAAAACAGAAACTACAATATATTCACCACAAATTTCTGTTCAGAGCTATATCTGATAACGTCTCAAGCCACCGAGATTTGACATCTATGAGACCGTAAGCATGGCATTATCATGGATGAACAAATACTTGTCCAAATTCGAGAGTTTAGATAATAAGCTATTTAACAACCAGTTATAATAAAGGCATTATGTTACACTCATGAGACTGGTTATGCTTTGCATGAATTTACTAATTAAAATAAACAAATTGATAAATGACTTAGATACCGAAACAATAGCCGATAAATTTCATCTTCATCCAATTTCAAAGTGAATTTTTTTCTTTTACTTACCACTAGTATAAAGAATGGGCTTTTCAATATCTTTTTCTGACCATTTTTAATTATAAATAATATCCAAACTATTACAACTTAAATTAACCGTTATGAATTAGTTTCTTTCATCCTATTCAATGTAGCATAGTTTGTATTTATTTATACAGTTCAGCTTATATTGGATGGAAAATTGAATCTTTATATATTTATTCTACAAAGGATTAGCAATCTGTTGGAAAAATTATATGACATTAAACAATTCTAGGTACTAAATTGAAAAATAATAGAAGGGGCATCGGCCTTGTGAATTCCGAAGGAACTCGGCTTTCATCATGAGGCGTCATATTTATTCCTTCAACTCCCAGGGCAGAGTTTAAATGGTTTGAATCGTTTTTTTCTGGTTGGCGTTTTTTATAGCGAGTTAGTTTTCTACGGGATGGGTTCGCTAACTCCATACCCAACCCTCCTCCTTTATCCGGGCTTGGGGCCGGCAGTAGCCCCCCAGAGGAGCTACAGGCGGAGTTCTAGGTGCTAAATACTTATAAAAAAATGTATAAACAGAAACAGTATAACACTTGACACAATTATATATTAATTCCTTGTTATATAATGCATTAAATTCATAATACTTATAAATTCCCTTAGTATTACTTGTTTGAATCTTCCCATTGATATTTAGGACTGCAACTGGTCAGCCTCTTATTGGCATATGTGCACACTGTGCGTATTGCCTCGATGTGCCAATAAGAGAATGATCAATTGCAGTCTTAAGCATCAATAAGAAGATTCGACCAAACAATATCAAGTGAATTCACGAGATCATTATTTACTGAAAAACATAGTTGCAGGTATATCCGGATGACGAGTCCCAAATGGGACGAAACGCGCTTCCTGGATTCCACTGCTAACCACTATCCATCTTTGCTTACATAATACTTATAGTTCTAGTAAAGAATTTACAAGCTAAATAATTTGTCTAATTAAAATTGAAGCACTTTTAGTTTTGTTTTTCAATGTTTAATAATTCTTTAACTGTCCTTTTTTCTTTAGATGACTGTAGTATAGTAATTAATTCGCTTTTATTTATCCATTATCTTTTCATAAGGATCATAATACACCTGTACGATATGAAATCACAGATTTTATAACACGTGATTCTCCTGTTTCTTTAAATCAAAATCATACACATTATATATTTGTTGATGAAGGTAGACGTTTAAGATATGGCGGGAGTAAATCAGCTGAATTTCGAGCTAGACTAGAAAAACAAATTGCTCTCCCTGTTGAAAGTAAGTAAACTAAGCTTTGAACGATAAAATCTCTTTTCTTCTCATAGATTAAAAATATGAAGTTTGGTGAAGGGATCTCTTCTCAAAAAAATTATTATTAATCTGTACAATGGTATATATATGAAATTTTTTTGTTAAAGTACTAGTTCCATTAGGAAATGTGAACAGGGAATAACCAGGATGATGTAATAGAAAGATTGTAATACTAGATTACGCAATGCCAAAAACAACAATAGACTTAATGAGTTAGTAACGAATTATAACGTGAATGTAATAAGATTGTTAAAATGTTTTTGTTACAATAATTAAAGGTCTTTAAAGGTCATAGAAGTGTAAAAAATAAATAAAGTGAGATCATGAACAATTATGAATAAAATAATGAGAATATGATACGTAAGTAAAGGGAGAAAGGAAATAATAACAATAAATTAAGGCTAAGTTAGATTGTTAAACTTTTTCAATGCCAACATATATGTATATTATCAGAAGGGGTTTTGTGGATATTATAGTAATTCTAGTAGTTGAGATCATGAATATGTATATGTATATTCTTTATTTTGATGTAAATGTATTCGATTTCATCTAGATAATTTTCAAATTTATGGATAAATTTATTGTTTACATAAGTTGCATGTTACTTAAACGACTAATAATAACTGTTAAGTTGCAGGACGTCGAACCATTGAAATAACATTTCTCTATAGTGAAGTTAACTTCAAAGGAAATATAATCATTAGAAGTGAACCGGTATGTGACAAACATTCCTAATGGTGAAAGTCGATAGGCACTTAACATTGCAAATTGATTGAAGCTATAAGTGTCTACCATTAAATACGTAATGGACTCATCACGACGTACCATCGTCATTAGTTTGATCTTCTGTAGGGTTCTGAGTACGAACTGCTGAGGAAGCCCATACTAAAGCGAAACATCTGTCTAGTGTTTCCTTTTTTTAAACAGTTATCTAACCAAGGTCTATCGATAATGTGAAACAATATTCATAACATCCTATAATAGCAATTAGAATTGAACCATTTAGAAATTTTATAATCGTTCGAATCGTATATTATAAATATAGAAACTAATAATTATTATAATACAATGTTTAGACACAGATCTATATCAGTAAAAAGTAAAAACGATTAAAATGGCTGTTAAACAAAGGAATGATGCTTAACAGGTATGTAGTTTAAGGACAAATACGTGTTACTTATGTATTACTTAGGTATTCTCAGTTAATCATCTATTCTATGAATTGAGGGATTATTAGATAAAAAACACTCAGATTTAAACCAATAAGTAAGAAATCTGAATTTTACTTCAACCATTTTGAAAATGAGTGATATTTATTCTGACTTATTTAAATGATGTAACTCGAAGTCATCTATTTTAGAAAATTGTACTTAATAAGTGAATTACATGATTTTCATAGTTGAAAGCATGAGTCAATTGAAGCTAGACCATCAAGGAAAACCTGGAAGCACTGGACGACCGTTTCGCCCTATTGTGGAACTCCTCAGCAGTGCGCATCCACGATCTCGTCCGGCGAGATTCGAATCCAGGACCTACCAGTCCAGTGCTTCCAGGTTTTCCTTGGTGGTCTAGCTTCAATTGACTCATGCTTTCAACTATGAAAATACTGAAATCTCCACAGAACCCCCTTCTAATTACATTATTATCTACTGATTATGTTATCCGAAACTGTCAGTTGTCGATAACTCGACAAAAGTTCATTCCAAAAAATTATTATTAATTTGTTTAATACGTTCATAGTTGTTATTTAATTTTAATTAGAACTTACATTTCGAGACTAAACACTGTTAAACCAACTTTAATTAACTTAATGTCTCATTCTAGAGTAATTTTTTTTCATTTGTAAACATGAAATATTTACCAAACTCTGTATATTATCATTTATTAATGAATACTTACTAAAAACAGAACTGTTATTTTTTTATAGAGGGTGGTTTCGGTATTCCTGTAGTACTTGTAATTGTTGAAGGTGGTCACGACGTTTTTATTGATGCTAGAAATAGTCTTAAAGAACATGTTCCTGTAGTGATTTGTTCTGGTACTGGGCGAGCAGCTGACATCCTAACATTAGCATTCGAGTATCGTTTGAAAAATGAGTAAGTTGGTGATATCACCTTGTAAAATAATATTTTAAAAAACACTACTAATTGTAACCATTCATCATGATGTTAGATACAAGATACATACTATGAAGGATAATTATGCGACCCGGATGCCCAAACTGATATAGGTGAAGTGGTATTTGTAACTGAGACTTAGTGGTTGAAAGTTGAACACCTGAACCTCTAAACCGCCGCTTCATCATTTATAAACACTTTACAAACAGAATAGTAAATAATATTAAATAAAACATAGTTGATATATGGATATAAAAAAAGAAAATGAATTCAATTATTATTCATTTATCAAGTTAATGTTTATGTACTAAGCTTTAATTAAACGCCGTTTGGTTTTAGTTGGTTGTCAAAACGGAAATAAACGAGTCAACAGATTCAGACCTACGTTTGATCAACAAATCACGAGTTTCGTTAGTTATTGAATTTTCATAGTTTATTGATATAAAATTAATTTACCAATGTAAGGAACTTTTGATTAGAATTAGTGCAAAAAGAATTCAATCAAAGTTCAGCACACTTCATCGTCTGTTTTTATTGTACCAACCTAGTAAAACAAATAGTTGTATATATGTATATATAACACTATCCATATTTGAAGTGATTTCATTCTTAAACTATTAATACTTTTGAAGTTTACTTTTAATGTACAATCTCATATCCTTCATATGTAACAATTGGTTTATTCAGTACATAAGAATTTATTTCATCTTGATCATTTATTAGAAGAGAACACATCAAACAATATTTGTTCACAGATGATGATGTGATTATATGCATGGTAATTAAAAACAACCAAAATCAGAAATGAACTTTGAACATTCTTTTCTGTAAAAGAAATGTTGTACGTAAATTTACGAATATATATATGGTGTATACTACTTATGTTGTTATGTAGTATATACCGTCAATCACAAGTGGAATGCTTGGCAGCAAAAGATTGAGATCTAAGTTAAGAGAACAGGAATGCAAACATAAACTAATTGTAATAGAAGCTGTACTGAAAGAATCATGAAACATGTAAACGACAACTGATGAAAGATGTGCAAATAATGTATTTAATTTATAGTTTTAATGTCTTACTATGATACTCCGTAATTTTGCAGTAAATAATAGATTGGTGTTCTTCGTTCTCTCTCTCTCTCTCTCTATATATATATATATATATATATATATATATATATATATATATATATATATATATATATAGTGGTATATGTATATCGAGTTCACATGGCTTCATTTATAAATTTCTGTTGGTAAATCGGTTACATACATGGTCAACTCCGTTAATCTCCATGTTTAAAGTTGATAGTACACGGATTGTGATTAGGGAAACAAAACATAGTGGAGAAGATTTGTAAATCAGATGGATGATTTTGCTTGAGTTTTGTTCTGTAAGCTGGATGCTTTGGTTGTGGAGCTTTCGTCGTTATTCTGAACGACATTTTCAGAAACAACCATCCAGCTCAGAGAACAAAATTCCACTCTATAATTTGAAATGAATAACGATAAATGTCAAATCTGTGTGACGAATTTTATACTTTATCGGTATGCTCAATGAGTATGATCTACAACTGTATTCAAACTAATCATTCCCTTGATATATTGTGTAAAGTCTTGTTTATAACAATCAATTTAATCATAGTTAGTCACAGTCAACGTGGAGCTTGAAATAAATCATATAATTACATTAATAACAAGGAAAACTAATCATTTCAAATATGATTCAAGTAGACAATAAAATTGTATATCTGAAGGAATATTGGAATTAAAGATGTAGCATAAGATAATAGTGACATTGTGATCAATTGTGAGCTTTGCCATAAATCGTCTCCAACCATTGATCATAGTTATCGCATAAACTCCAACCACGATTATAATTAATTTCATTTATTTAATCTACACATATTTATAAATTTGCTTCTGTATACTACTATAGCGAAGGAGAATTTCAGTGGGGACAACTAATTGTATCTTAACATAACATTAGAGAATTCTTAGTAAAATCTAAGAACCATACAGTAAATACTTCATTTTCAAAATGTCAATCAATTGTCTCAGACTTGATTGTTCCTTCGTTTCCATACCAATCACTCTGTGTTCTCGTTCTGTTCTCTTCAATCTCCTTAATCTTCTGCCTCCAAGCATTTCACTTCCGATTGGTGCTACATACTAATTATATCTGTAGACATCAGTAGCACGCATCACACTGCTACTTCTACACTGTTTTGCTTTTACATATTAATTTATTTTTAAATAAACTAGTACATTTAATGGATTCTCAGAGACGGAATTGGCTGTATTAAAACAAAAACTGCAAAATATTTCTGGCACTCCATCGAAAGTTGATTCTGCTATAAAAATGATTGAATTCATTGTACAAAATGAAAGTTTAATTACAACGTTTGATATGAATCAATCCAATGATTTAGATTTGGCTATTCTATTCTCATTAATTAAAACATCATCTAATGCAGACAAACAATTAGAATTAGCATTCGCCTGGAAACGTAGTGACATTGCACGAGAGAAAATATTTCAACAAGGCTATCAATTCGATCAAGGTAAACTGTAACCTGTTTTTTTCTAGATTCAGTGATTTAGTTAGTTATAGACAACATAGACCTTGAGTTATTGAATCAAGTTACTACAGTACATAAATAGAGCAGTCTTGATATTCTGATCTCAGTTTATTATTCTTAATAGTATTAGTAATAGTATCAGTAGTAGCAGAATATATTAAGCTTGGGCTAGTAATTCGAGAAGATAGAATGAATTCATATACTAATAAGTGTAATTTATTTTTAAAACTACATATCTAAGGGGAGACGACAAATGGCAGATAATAAGCCATTTCATCTAAGGTCTCGAACTGTTGCTTAATGTAATCTCTGCAACCGTAACCATGTAGTTCGAATCTACCACGGCCCTATCCGGGGAGGATGAGTTTTCTGAATAAAAGTATGATTATCTCATAGCAAAAACCGAATGATTTTGTGAAATTGCGATCCTATTTTGGGCCGTGTCATTCGTAGTTGAGTGAACAATCATTTATATCTGGCTTTTGATCGGTACTGTTAGTATTAGTATTATTTTCATTATTACTGTCAACACATTATTTTTGGATGCTTTAACATGGACACTTACAATAGTAACTTTTATATAGCTACGTACAGTTATCTCTAAGAAGTGAAAATAGAAGATTCCTGTTACAGCTTGATTCATTCTTGAATGTCCATGATCACAATTACTCGATCGTTCAAATGACAAACTTTATTGACCCATTCTACGGACTAAAATTAAAGTTTCCACAAATCACGCAGCTAACCCCATAACATTCAGAAATATGTACTTATCCAAGGTTTACAATATAACTGTTGGCTGTTGAAATAACATCTCAACTGTTAATGATAATTGAATTCGCCAAATTTAAATATTACTAGGTCTATGATTTTAAAAAATGAATTTTTAAATGGTAATGTTAAAACTGATTGAATTCTATAATGTCTCTTTCTTTATCTCAATATAATATTTATTTTTTATTTTAACTCGGGAAGTTCTTAGTTGATATTAAAAATAACATGGCAATTGAAATATCAATAACTTAGTAATTGGTTTATAAACAATCTCCACAACCCTATACTAATAATTACCATATTCTCACTAGTGACTAGCTTCGAGAGATCATTCTCGGAGTTCTAGTTAAAGGCCGTGACCAGTGGAGTTCAATCTGTGTTGAGTGTGAAGCAGTTACCCCCCGAAAGCAATGAAAGATGGTTGCACAATATAGTGAATTAATTGAAGTTAGATATTTACATCGGCCTAGCGGTCTACAGGTTAAGCGTTCTCGTGCGAGACCGGAAGTCCTGAGATCGAATCCCACGTACAGGTTCATGGTGTGTTCTTCTGAAGATTTTGACACCAGGACGAAACGGTTGTCCAGTGCTCTCATCTTTTCAATGGTGGTCTAACATTTATCGGTTCATGATTTCAAATAAAAATATCGTAAATAATTTTTTGTATTCAAATAATGTTAACTTTTCTATTTTATCTTTGGATTTTTATTTTTTTTATGTACGCAGTCACATTGGAGTATTTCATGTTAGAAGCATTAAAAAAGGATGAACTTGATTTTGTGAAATTATTTCTACATCATGGTGTATCAATGAAAGCATTTCTTACTGTCGATCGACTTAGTACTTTATATAATAATTCAGTGCATCGTGATGGTTTAATCAAATGTCTTCGCAAGCATAAACTTCTTCAGTTGTCAACAAATATTGTTAAAAATGAAAATACAAGTCAGTTTACGGATACTTCAAACAAAAGATTACGATTAGCTACTGTTGGTTTATTGTTAGATAAAATGTTGGGAGGTTTCGACAATTACCTTTATGAAACTGACGCTGACGTAAGAAATCGAATAGTTAAATAGACTTTTCTTTAATCGTTTTTATTCATGTTTTGGTAAGACTATAGTTTATGAACGACCTTGAGCGACGATAAAGTGACCTTGAGAATGTCTACCTACTTACTAGGGCTAAATGAAGGTTCTGAAGGAGTTTGAAGAATAAGGATTATGATTTACAATTTATGGTTAGGGTTAGGAATTAGATGTACGGTTTTCATCACGAACTGACATCAACTAATATGCCAAAACGATATTTAAACAAATGAATGAGTGAATTTCGCGCCAAAATCCAAAACTTATTATCCTGAAATCTGATTGGTTTGCCCATAAATTATAGTTTGACCTCATGTTTGATTTTATATTAATGAAGCATTTTATTGTATTATGTGTTAAAATGGGATTTACTAAACGTTTCAATCAACAGATTGAGAATGAACAATAATACGTGAATTGAAAAGTTTTGTTAGAAAAAAATCCATTTTAAATTGAATGTTCAATGTTTGTTAATGTTCAAAATTAATAGTTATAATTGGATGTTTACTTCAATTTTCAAAAAAAGGAAAGACAATAAATTAGACTTCAATTTCGTATCGCTATTTGAACATTAAACTTTGAACTACTGAGTTATAAGTTTTGAACTGATATTCGTCTTATTTGAATTTGGTGACCAGGTATAATCAGTAATGGTGCTTCTGCAGTCAGTGTTTTTCAGAGCTGATTTACATTTAATGACTGAATTACATAATTTCTATGTCACTTTTTATTAGGCGATTTATTGATCCGTTCTCAGAATTTTTTATCTTTGATGTATTTGGAAATATCAATCCCCATCTATCATTCGATTTTTATTATTTAAACTATTCTACATCCATTTGCATTCCATCATAAAGATCCAAATCAATAATCATAATATATCCGAGTATGACATTTTTAACAATGTACAATATATTGTAGACAGAAATTATTAAGATAGAATATCGGATCCAACGTCTTATTTTGATGTTTTATGTATAAAATGTTAGAAGTAGTCCTTGAATGTGTAATTCTAAGTGTATTGAATCGTGATCATTGTGGTTGATGTTCAAGAGCCGACTCAATCATCTTAGAATTAAAACTAATTTTTTCCAGTCTTCAGGATAATATATTTTCTAATCGTTTTTTGACAATTATTTTGTTTGGTATACTGTTATACTATTTCAAAAATGATTTTTACATATCAAACAAGAAATGTTTATGAACCATATCTTCATTCTTTTCTGTTTCAACGTCATAATTATGGAAAATTACATATTTCCATGTTCATCGTGATTTTATTTCTGATTGTTTGATATATTGCCGGATGCAGGCATTATTGTAACAAACAACATGACGTTGTTTCTGTGTCAGTAACATTTTAGCGTGCTTTAGACAATCATTCTAGCAATAAAATTCATAATCTAGTGACAATTCCATGAACAGAGGGGGTTTTGTGGAGAATTGACTCATGATTTCGACTGTGAAAATTCCATGAACATCATTAACAAAAATATTTGACAAGATATTACTTTCCAAATGTGTGTTTTTTTAAGTCTGCTTATGCGGATTGTTTTACCAGTATAACATTATTTATAACCTATTTCTGTGATTTTGATAACATTTGATTTTTTTTACCTCTTCATTGGTTGTACCATCTCATTTGTATGCAATGCAGAGTCCAGACAATCTGCCTAACGTAGTGAATCAGTCAAGGTTTTCCTCTCCATTTCAAGTAAGCTACAGATAATAGTTTTTACATTTTTTTAAATTTAATTGTTTTGTGCTATCTTATTTCAGACTGTCCGACTTCATTTTTTTGTTATCTCTTAATGCAAATTTGTCCGATTTGTATAAGGCTTTTGTCAATGACCGGTTATAGATTGAAGTATTATTTAAAGCTAAATATAGTTAGATATACGTTTGATCCCAGTCAAAAAATGTTCGATGATTAGTAATAACCTTCTTACATGGGACTAACGTCTAGATGAATTTTCAAATTTTTAGTTCGAAAATGTTTAGAGGGCGGCAGTTATTCGCCAATATTAGTGAATGGTCGCCGACATACTAAATCGGAAATATGAATAGTTAGATTTTGATTTAGTGGTTTCATTTTGAAATCCAAACGTTTGATTACATGTACATCTATGTTTGTGTATAGATTAGCAGTCCCATAGTAAGGTTCAATAACTTTAAAATATTCTTTTGTTTAAATTGTTCTCCAATGATTGTCACTCTTTTATAAAATTAGTTTTTAAATTAATATTATCTTGTTCTCACATAATTGATTGAAATTGTTTTAGATAACCCTCCCATAATAAATTTCTGTTTATTTCAAAACGAATATTTTAAAATAGTAATTGAATACTGAGCAAAGATGGATAGTGGTTAGCAGGGGAATCCAGGATGCGCGTTTTGTCCTATTTGGGAATGATCAATCGCAGTCCTAAACGTCAATAGGAAGATTCAAGTAAACAATACCAAGTTAATTTAAACTTCACCCCATTGCACAAGCAAGTAGCTATCAGGACTCAGTAGCTGAGTAGACTACGCGATGGCGTTTGAAGCGAAAGGTACTGCGTTCGGGTCCCATAGTGAACATCAACTCTGAGAGGCAGGTACACTCAGCTGACGAGTTTCAAATAGGACGAAACGCGCGTCAAACTGGATTCCACTGCTAGCCATTATCCATCCTTGCTTACAATGCTTGTGAATTAAGGCTAGATCGAGGCAATACATACAGTATGCACATATGCCAATTAGAGACTGACCAGTTGCAATCCTAAGCATCAATGGGAAGATTCAAGTAAAACAGTACCAATTAATTGCATAGTTCGATTGAACCATTCTAACAGCTATATAACGTCTCCTAATAAGCAAGTATATCTACTCAAAACAGTTAACATTAACAATATATTTAGCCGTGTTTTGGCATCAGAACATCTGAAAATCATTATTACATGGTTTCAAGATAATCCTATCAAGAATGTACTTCTAACCTACTAGTGATAATTCCATTTAGGAATCTGACACATTTAAAGCTATTGAAAGGAAAATGCCGTCGTAGACTGGTCTTAAGTAGATGTCATTGGGCCTCCGCAATCACGCTTTCATATCCCCAGATCAATTAGTAATCCAGATCCTTTTTCAAACAATTTATAACCTAGAAACGATAATGATAAGTCTTGGTTGATTGTACGCTATACTCGGATCCTAAGCTAGTCTCGTAACTCTCAAGCTAGAACTACACAGCGACTTGAACACGAGAGAAAAGGCACAAAATATGCGGGAAGAACTTTACTCCAGAGATTCAATTATGTACAGAAAATATAGTATTTTTATAGTATTTTAGAAGTCCTTGGATTTTCCTGAAAATTTTAGAATACTACTAAACATAGTAGTAGTGTAGTAATCAGTCACTCTGAACCTCTACATGTCACTTTTCATTTTCGCGATGTTTCTAGCAAGACTTCTAATCAAACGCTGATAGGATGAAATGCTTCTTAATGTTTCCTGAGCTTGCCATGTCTATTGCGAGAAATTTGCAGGATCATTCCAACATATAACGACTCCTCGAATTCATATAACACAACTCCAGATCACTTTAATTCATTTGGTCACTTCCGGTTGTATAGGCTGTCTTATACTATGTTGGATTGTTACGTCTGAAATCCCTAATAGAAACTCACAGTAAATCATCTATATCCTTTGAGGCTATATTGACAAACAAAAAAGCGGTTTTAACTTTTCATTATCTTAATGTGTTTCATTGGCAAACAATTTGTTGTCTAATTGCACTTTCAAATACTAAACAGTACAATTTACATTTAGACGAAGTAAAAATGTATCCACGATATACTACTAACCTATTTATGAATTCTAATAATCATAGATTATATGAATAATTGTCTAGTATTAATCAAATAACATACCAGACTTGTTTTGACCTACACTGTTTCACTAATGAAAATTTATTTGTATCCTTTATATTGTGAATATTTCATGTATTAAAAAAAATAGATACATCAATGATTGACTACAAATTAAAATTACTAATATGTATCTCCGACTAACTTTGTCTCTAAGATAAAAACAATGTTTATGTGTAACGTTTTGTTGGGTTTTGTTTACCTATTGGCTAACAAACGGTAAAACATTACACAATACTATACTGGGTTTGTGTATTGCGTACTTGCATAATTACTGGAAAATATCTCTTCATTTGACTTGTTGATTCATGTGAGATCTTTGAATCATGTTTTTTTCTGTAGATATGCTCCTAAAGTCAATATGAATTGCTTTATTTTTTGGAGTTAAGTGTTCCATTGAATTTGGAATCGAATTAACTGTGAAAAACTAAAATTCACTGACTAAAGAACGAAGAATATTCTTTTTAATAATTTCTCTTGAGGTTCCGCGATTCAATATTCAAATTAATAATCCAAAACATTGGCCAAGTTTAAGACAAAGTTACTGACTTACGCCTTTTACCCGTCGTGGTGGAGCATAGGCCACTCACAAGCATTCCTCTTCCAATCCTATCCTGGGCAATCCTTTCTAGTTCTTTCCAGTTCTTATTCATCCACTTCTAATCTGCTTCTACTTCACTGGGTTATGCGTTCGTTGGCCTTTCTCTTTTCTGCTTCTCTTCACGGTTACAAGTTAGAGCTTACCTCATGATGTAGTTTGGTAACTTCCTTAATGTATGTTCTATCCACTTCCAATGTCTTTTCCTAATTTCCTCTTTAGCTAGAAGCTGATTTGTCCTCTCCCATAGAATGTTGTTGCTGATGGTATCCGGCCATTGAATGCTGAGTATTTTGCGTAAACAGCTGTTGATAAATACTTTTACCCTCTTGACGATGGATGTAGTAGTTCTTCAGGTTTCAACTCCGTACAGTAGGACTGTCTTGACGTTCGTATTGAAGATTATGACTTTGATAGTGGTTGACAGTTTTTTTGAGTTCCATATGTTCTTCAATCGTAGGAATGCGGTCCCTGCTTTGCCAACATCTTGAAGGCGAAGTACATCATTTAAAATTACATAGTGACGTAATTTGTTCATAGCTTAAACTTATTCACACATTATTATTATTATACTGGACAACATTTTAAAGAAATTTATTTAACGTTTACCCCTTATTTACTAAGTCGTATCTAATTCATATTATTCTACAGAATACGTGATTTTTAATTTATAATTACATTATCGTTTCTCTCAGTCCATGTTAACCATATTTATTCTAATTGTTAAGCTCATAATTTCATTTAACTTATAAACTTATTCGAGTTACTACTTCATATTAGTCAACCCAAAGTTAACAATTTCATTTTATTGAACAATCCTAAATTCACATATTAGATTTTTTAAATGATATACTTTGCCTTAAAGCTGATCTTTTTTTTGGAATTATTTATTGTATTTTAATATGATAGGAATTTTTCAGAGACTAAAGAACAGTTATTTATGTTTGGAGTTTTCATCAATAAACATGATTGACTTTTCTGTGGACTCATATAACTGTAAAATATATGTTACTTTCATAGTTCAAAGAATGAGTCCATTGAAGCTTGACCACCAAGGAAAACCTGGGAGCACTGTACGGCCGTTTCGTCCTATTGTGGGACTCCTCAACAATGTGCATGCACGATTCTGCCTGTCGAGATTCAAACCTAGGACCTATCAGTCTCGCGCCAGAGCACTTAACCGACAGACCACTGAGGCGGCATCCGATGTTGTTAATGTCTAACTTCAACCAATCCACGAAGTTGAGCAACCGTTCACCAATTGTCTTCAGTGAGTTGATATCTCACAATAGATGTGGTTTGAACTCCACTGGTCACGGCTTCTCACTAGAACTCCAGGTTAAGTGCTCTGGCACGAGACTGGTAGGTCCTGGGTTCGAATCTCGTGAGGCGAGGTCGTGGATGCGCACTGCTGAGGAGTCCCACAATGAGACGAAACGGACATCCAGTGCTTCAAAGTTTTCCTTGGTGGTCTAGCTTCAATTGACTCATACTTTCAACTATGCAAATACTAAATCTTCACAAAACCTCCTTCGGATGTATGTTACTATTGCGGAAATTTATCAATAGACTTTGAATATATATTGAATAGATCAGATTAAGTTAAGTTTTCTGTAAATAATATCAATATATACGAATATTCGTCAACCCGACCGTTGCTGCTACCTTGACGTGGTGGTCGGGCTTGCCTATCGTGATGAACCAATCGAGCTATAGTGGCTGGAACAATCGACCACCTGCCCCAAACCAACGATGGACTCAAAGAGACCATATTGCCATCAGTCATCGTTGGAGAGGCTCGTATTGGAATGCTTGTTTAGACTCTGATCACGCTTTAATGCGAGTACGCATTTGTCTGCGCCTCACTGGACGCAGGAAAACTACATTAAGAAGACCCATTAGGATTGAACTGAAGCACGAGAAAGCCGAATGTAAATTCCAGGAACAACTGAGTTTACATCTAGGCAGTTCTGTGAACGAGACTGACCCAGATGCTGCTTGGAAAGACATACAAACAGCTGTGGAAACAGCAGTAACATCTATTAGTTATTTAAACCATAGGGCTCCAAAAAACCAGTGGATTTCTTCTAAGTCTATTTCACTGATGGATTCGCGTAAATTCATCCCATCAGGCTCTGAGTACGACGAAGAGCGTAAACAAATCAGATCTAGGTTGACTAAAAGTCTAAGGAACGATCGTGGGCAGTGGTGGGCAACGAAAGCAAGAGATGGAAAAGGCGGCGGCTGTAGGCAACACCAGGCAACTATTCAGACTAATAAAAGAAACCGCAATTAGGAAGTCAAGTGTAAGTGGGACGATCTCGGAAGAAGACGGAACTTTTATCTGTTCGCAGCCCAGACGTTTAGAACGATGAGTGGAACACTTTAAGGAGCAGTTCAGCTGGCCTTCAGCTACTGCACAACTACCCACTATTCCCAGACAGTCTGATTGGAACATTGAAGTAGGTGTCCCGACCCTACCTGAAGTTCAAGAGGCTACAACTAATCTGAAACGAGGAAGAGCATCTGGTACTGATGGATTGGCTCCAGAGGTCTTTAAATATGGTGGTCCAATTTTAGCGATTAGGTTGACTAATATTTTAGCTAAAATCTGAGATCTGGATGTAATCCCATGTGATGTGACTGGTCACAATCACTGGTTATCTCAATATATAAGAAGGGGCCAAAATCATCCTGCGATAACCATAGAGGGATTAGTCTGACTAATATAGCATCTAAAATACTTGCCTCAATAATAATCGGGCGCCTAACTAAGACCTCTGAACTGCAAACACGAGAAAATCAGGCTGGCTTCAGACCTGGTCGTGGCTGCATCGACCACATATTCACTATTCGTTAAGTTTCGGAGCACAGACGTGTTTATCAGCGTCTGACAATGATAATTTTTCGTGACTTGAAAGCAGCATTTGACTCTGTAGACCGAGAGGTTCTGTGGTAGTATCTGTCATTGAAAGGTGTACCTGAGAAGTACATAAACCTTGTGAAGGATCTTTACTCGAACTCTATCAGTCATCTGATTTTACAATCTCATGTGGTGTCCGACAAGGATATCCACTATTCTCATTTTTGTTTAACTTCATTATAGACCTATTGCTGGAAATAACACTCTCTTCGACTGAATTTTCAGGAATTGATCTCCTACCAGGGGATCCACTGATCGACTTAGAATATGCAGATGACATAGTTCTGTTTGGTGAAGACGCTGACAAAATGCAGAGTCTTCTGTGCTTGAAGTCACTAACTTCTAGTCTGAGCCATGTTGGTAGATGCAGATTACCTCGTTGGGGTCCGCGTGACTATCGTAACCAATGGTTGGAGACTCTATGTGACATGACTCAGAATCGATCACAATGGTGTAGGTGTATACACTCTTTATCTTCCTTTAAACCTTGAGATCGAAATTGCTTCATAACTTTCTTCCTTTTTATACTATATCCTTATATATAACCTATCTTTTATATACTACCACCACTTAATTAACTATATGAATCCGGTATTTATCTTGTTGTGCTAACGAGGTGTAGCAACTTGGACCGATGCATAAATGTGCCTTGTCCTACGTTGTAGCCGACTGACTGAATATTCGTCAAAATTAGGACGAATAGCTTGACAAAAATTGGACGCCGAGTATAGAAATGTCATTATATGTGAAAATTATACTTGAATTAATCTCAGCGATTGAAATTTAAATAATTCCAACGTTTCATCTAGCTAACGTGTTTGAACTTCTTTAGGGTAATAATCAAAATCATAAAAGACCTTTGATGAATATCAATATATTTCGTGAAATCCTCAAGAGAGATTGTTTTTTAGTGCCTCAAACAATAGTTAATTTAACCAATGTGTTACTACTCTAAACAATAAACTTTTGTTATATTGAAAATTGTTTTAATCTTTTTGTTTAATTTTGTAAATAATTAAAGGAATTATTTCTTTGGGCAGTGTTGCATCAACGTCAACATATGGCTTTATACTTTTGGGAGCTCAGTGATAATGGTCTTATCTTAGCATTAATAGGGTGTTGTCTTTATTCGAATATGATTAAATCATTACCTTCATATGATACAGAAGCAAGAACTTTATATGAATCATATGTTAAAGAATTTGAAATGATTGCAACTCGTTTACTGGAAAAATGTTATGCAACAAGTGAAGTAAGTATTCCAATGTTAAATTCAATATATTTCTTTTATCAGCTAACAAATAGTTTATTGCCAGTGTAGGGCTGTGGAAATTATTGAGTTTCGTTAAAATCATAAACCGATCAATGTTAGGCCATCATTGAAAAACTCATAGCACTGGACGGCTGTTTCATCCTAGTGTGGGATTCCTCAGAAGTACACATCCACAAACCTTCACGCTGAACTGGAACCTAAGACCTCCGGTTCTCTAATGATGGTCTAACATTGATCAGTTCATTAACTTAATGAAATAGTTTATTAACAAATTTTGGTCTGTCACTGAAAACAATAATTATAGGTTGTAGATTTGATATGTTTACGTTAATAGAGACGTATTGCCTATATTTACTTACATTGCATTTTGGCAAACTATGTATATATTTAGAGAATGAATGAAATGTAGGATAAAAACGTGAGGCTATATGTAATAAGTATTGAGACAATTAATCAATCTAGCGTTTGTTGCAGCTCTATTACATCAAGTTAAATATCTTACCGTAAGATGAATAACTGTCAATATTGGTCACTATTTTTGATTTATTAAGGGTCTTTCCAATAATTTTCATTTCGAAAATGATCTACGTGGATTATTGTATGATTTCGTTTTAGAAAAGTAGGACACAGAGTGATAATTCATTTACTTTAGTCAGTAATTATTCAAAAGGAAGTAATCATAAAATTCCTATTCACTTTCACATAAGCGATTTTCATACATTTAGATCGGGAAACTGCCAAAGCATTTATGGGACCATTGAATTAATGATAACCAGAATGAATTTTACAAGAATTATATTTATATTTTTATAATTATATTTTTTAGGAGCTCACATTAAATCTACTAGATAGAGAAACACATATATGGGGTAATTTCAATTGTTTAAGTTTAGCAGCTCAGTCGTTACGTCGAAAATTTATCAGTTCAACAGCATGCCAAGATTCACTGTATCGTGCATGGCGTGGAGGAGTGCATACCAATGCGTTTGTAATATTAGCAACATTATTTTTTCCTTTCCTATTATGTTTTGATTACTTATTTCGATGGGATAATCGTCGTGCAATTGAAAATGAATCACAAAACTTAGTTGAATCCATTAATTCTTCTAATCCTGATATTAGGAATAAAAGGAATAATTCTACCGATTCATGTTGTGGAATAATTCCTAAATGCAAAAAAATCAAATCAAGATTTCAATTATTTTATAATGCTCCAAGAACCAAGTTCATATTTAATGCAGTAAGTTGAACATAAACGTTTCCTTATTGTAAAAATACTAATCTGTGTGAAAAAAGTAGACATGGGAGCAACGAATCAATATGTTTTGTACTTAGTTGTAAAGGTTACGGAAGAATAGGTAGTTTTACATGAAATCTAAAATGCGGTTATTTCTATTGTAGTCTAATGTGATTGTATGATATATTAGAGATACGGAAAATTTGATTTGAAGTATAAATAATCAATTTGGATACTATTAATGTCCCTGTTGGTTCTTTTTCAGTGCCAATAATTGTCAAAAAATACGTTATCTTGACCAGTGACATCTGTTTGCTCATTGGATTTTGTAATAGAATTCTATTACCCTATGATAACTGAGTTGTGATATTTATACTAGTCATGGATCGTTTTGTGATGTGTTAATACTAATGATATAATAGTCATCTTTTATTTATAATGGTTTGTATTTCACCGTTGTCGATGTTAAGAACTACTATTAATCACTGTCTAATAAAAAGCATTATAAATGAAATTCATACCCGTTGTACAAGCCAGTGGTTATCTGAACTCAGTAGATCATTGGATAAAATATTGGTGTTTGAAGACATAGTTACTTTTTTACGTTGAATATCATATTCTATTGTCCGTCGCCTGATGATGCTAGTGGTAATGGAATATATATGCTACTTGATTTTGTGTATGTTCTGTCGACTTTACAGGTTAAGGACAACTACTACTACTTACTACTTACGCCTGTTACCCCTCGTCGAGGAGCATAGGCCGCTCACCAGCATTCTCCATCCAACTCTGTCCTGAGCCTTCCTTTCCAGTTCTTTCCAGTTACTATTCAGCCTTTTCATATCGGCTTCTATTTACCGGCGTAGTGTGTTCTTTGGCCTTCCTCTTTTCCGCTTCCCTTCCGGATTCCAAGTTAGGGATTGAGTCGTGATGCACATTGGTGATTTCCTTAATTTATGTCCGATCCACTTCCAACGTCTTTTACTAATTTCCTCTTCAGCTGGAAGCTGGTTTGTCCTCTCCCATAAAACGCTGTTGCTGTTAGTATCCGGCCAGTGGATGTTGAGTATTTTGCGTAGACAACTGTTTATAAATACTTGTACCTTCCTGATGATGGCCGTAGTAGTTCTCCACGTTTCAGCTCCATACAGTAGGACTGTCTTGACGTTCGTATTGAAGATTCCGACCTTGAAATTAGTTGAGAGTTGTTTTGAGTTCCATATGTTCTTCAATTGTAGAAATGCTGCCCTTGCTTTGCCAATCCTTGCCTTTACATCTGCATCCGATCCTCCTTGTTTATCAACGATGCTCCCCAGGTACTTGAATGTTTCCACCTCTTCCAGAGTTTCGCCGTCAAGTGTGATTGGGTCGGTGTTCTCCGTGTTGCATTTGAGAATCTTGCTTTTTCCTTTGTGAATGTGGAGACCTATCGATGCGGAGGCTGCTGCTACATTTGCTGTCTTCATCTGCATTTGGTCGTGTGTATGAGAGAGGAGGGCTAGGTCATCTGCGAAGTCCAAATCATCTAGTTGATTCTGAGCTGTCCATTGTATTCCGTATTTCCCGTCAGATGTCGAATTCTTCATAATCCAGTCAATCACTAGAAGGAAGAGGAATGGGGAGAGTAGACAGCCTTGTCTGACTCCGGTCCTTACTGGAAATGCGTCTGTCAGCTGTCCTCCATGCACCACTTTGCACTGTAATCCATCGTATGAGTTTTGGATAATGTTGACGATCTTCTGAGGAACTCCATAGTGTCGAAGAAGTCTCCATAATGTTCTCCTGTCCACGCTGTCAAACGCCTTCTCATAGTCAAAAAAGTTGACGTATAGTGATGAGTTCCACTCAACTGATTGTTCAACGATGATCCGTAGTGTCGCAATCTGGTCTGTGCACGACCGATCCTTACGGAATCCAGCCTGATGATCCCTTAGTTCGGCGTCTACTGCGTCTTTCATCCGATTCAGCAGCACTCTGTTGAAAACTTTTCCTGGTACTGATAACAAACTGATACCTCTGTAGTTCTCGCATTTGCTCGGATCTCCTTTCTTTGGTATCTTGATGAGATATCCTTCTTTCCAGTCCGTTGGCACTTGTTCCTCTTCCCAAATCTTTTTGAATAGAAGGTGAAGCATATTTGCAGTTATTTCAATGTCTGACTTCAGTGCTTCTGCTGGTATATTGTCAGGTCCTGCCGCCTTCCCACTTTTGATTTGTCTGATGGCCATCTTGACTTCTTCGATCGTTGGTGGAGTGACATCTATTGGAAGGTCTGTGTGGGCTGCTTCGATGTTCGGTGGATTCAATGGGGCTGGTCTATTCAGCAGTTCCTCGAAGTATTCTGCCCATCTTTTCTTCTGTTCTTGAATCTCAGTGATTGTTTTTCCTTCTTTGTCCTTGACTGGTCTCTCTGGTTTGCTATATCTCCCTGCCAATTTTTTCGTTGTATCATATAGTTGTTTCATATTCCCTTCTCTTGCAGCTTTTTCCGCCGCCGTTGCTAGTTCTCCCATGTATTTCTGCTTGTCGGCTTTAATGCTTTTCTTCACTTGCTTGTTTGCTTCTGCGTAGTCTGCTTGTGCTTTGACTTTCTCTGCTCGTGTTCGGCTGTTGTTAATTGCTAGTTTCTTGTTCTTCCTTTCTTGAATTTTGTCCAGGGTTCCCAGAGAGATCCATTCCTTGTGATGATGCTTCTTAGGACCAAGAACCTGCTGACACGTTGAAGTTAGTGCTTCTTTTATCCCTTTCCAGTTGTCCTCCAAAGTAGTTTCTTGTTCTTTCAGTAGATCCTGTAGAGCTTGGAACCTATTGTTGAGAGTTATCTTGAATTCTTGGAGCTTGTCAGCATCTCAAAGGAAGGCTGTATTAAACCTTTGTAGTGCTGTTTGTCCAGTTGTCCAGTCTTTCTTAAGCTTCAGTCTCATCTTGGCCACAACCAGGTGGTGATCTGAAGCTATGTCAGCTCCTCTCCGGGTTCTTACATCTTCCATTGATCTTCGGAATTTTTTGTTGATACAGATGTGATCTATCTGGTTCTCTGTGGTATGGTCCGGTGAGACCCATGTAGCTTTGTGTATGCGTTTGTGTGGGAATATTGTGCCGCCTATAACCAATTTGTTGAAAGCACATAGGTTTGCAAGTCTCTCCCCATTTTCATTTCTTTCTCCTAGTCCGTGTCGTCCGATTATATCTTCATATCCTGTGTTGTCCACTCCAACTTTAGCATTTAGATCTCCCATCAGGATGGTGAGGTCCTTTCTTGAGCACTTTGCTACAATTGATTGCAGCCTTTCATAGAACTGATCTTTATCATCGTCGTTGCTATCATTGGTGGGTGCATAACATTGGATAACGTTCATTGTGATCCCTTGCTTCTTTGTTCTGAATGATGCTTTGATTATCCTGGGTCCATGAGATTCCCATCCCACAAGTGCATTTCTTGCTTCTTTAGACAGCATTAGAGCAACTCCCTGAGTGTGTGGAGCATTTTCCCCTTCGTGACCGGAGTACAGCAGCATCTCTCCTGTACCTAGCCTTTGTTGTCCAGTTTGTGTCCAATGGGTTTCGCTGATTCCGAGTACTTCCAAGTTGTATCTCCTCATTTCCATTGCTATTTGGCTGGTCTTTCCTGTCTCCCACATTGTCCGGACGTTCCATGTACCTATAAAGAGTGTTGCTCTGGTTGTTAGAAGGTGCATCGGTCTCGTGACTTCCGAAGAATTTCGGCTTTCATCATGAGACGTCATAATTATTCCTTCAACTCCCAGAGCAGAGTTTAAATGGTTTGAATTATTTTTTCTGGTTAGCGTTTTTTTAGCGAGTTAGCTTTTCTACGGGATGGGGTCGCTAACCCCATGCCCAACCCTCCTCCTTTACCCGGGCTTGGGACCGGCAGTAACTCTAGAAGAGCTACAGGCGGAGTTGGTTAAGGACAAGGGTATATTAAATGTCTAATACGAGTTGTAATTGGGTTAGGTATATTTCAGACATGCTAATATTGGACGGAAGACAAGCAAACAAATATCCAGAGATTTTACAAAGCATTGGAGTTCGTTGATACACTGATTCACAGAATAATAAAATGTGATAAAAAGACGAAGATTATCAGAATTATGTGATATATTAGCGCAATACATTTCGAACAATGTGATCACACATATATTTGTTAATAGTGACTTAGTTCGGTAGGATTAAACTATACTGCCGAGCCAATCAGAAGCTTTCGCGGGTTTTCAAGGTCACGGCGCTAAGTTCGGTACCTGATGCTTACGTACGGTCGGTTTACAGCGGATTTTAGGGAAGACATGATAATTTAGCGTCTACAATAGAAGTGATCATAAGATTTTGGCGCGAAATTCAATTATCTATTTGGATAAATAGAGTTTTGGCATTATAGCTGATGTCAGTTCGTGATGAAAACCCTAAGTATAATTCCTAGCCTTAATCATGAATTGTAAATCATAATTTGAATTCTTCACACAGGTTTATAACCCTCGTTTGGTCTCAGAGTCACTCTAGCGTCGCTCAAAGGTTGTCCATAACGTATAGTCTCACTCATAACCCTAAACCCTACACCTAAACCTTAACTCTAACCGTAACCCGTAAACCATACCAATATACTAACATTATTGAAGCTATGTGGTCGAGGCTAAAGGGATTTTTGAGACCTTACCATGGTTTCAGAGGTCGACTACTATGGAGCCATATGGATGTGTTCCTGTGTCGTATACACTATGATTTTAGAACTTCTGAACCTAGATCTGACCTTGAGAAGTTTTTGACCCATGTAAAAGAAGTGTTTCCACTTTAATTCTTTGGTTTTGTATAATATATTTTTACTGTATACTAACCGTCTTCTGATTGGCTAATATTTCTCAAGGTCATTTAAGATTCGTTCAAAGGTCGGCAGTATGGTTTAATCCTACCGAAAAATGCTTTTACATCAGTGACAAAAATAAATGGAAAGATTAGAATAATTTATCTTTCCAAAGGTTAGAATAAATCATGTTGTCATATGACAATGCTAATTGCTACAATTATATCAATAGCTTCTACTTGGAGCATCACACTATCAACTTGATGACATTCAAGCTCAATTTTAGTTATAAAGGCATATCTTCATTCTATACAATAACAAAATTTGGCTTAAAACTTTACATCTAAGCATGTTTTTTATTATTATACAAGTATGACGTATTTGGTTTGTGTCAAGGTCTTTTATATCTATCACCAACCAAGGTCACTGTGTCTGACAAATAAAAATAAAAGTCATCTGATTGACTAGTTTTTTACAAGTTGTGAAATAGGTTAAAATGTTAAAGTACACCAAGAAAAATCTTATTCATCTATGTAAAAACTGTTTATACAGTATCTACTATTGTATCATTTAAAACAATGTTCTATGTTAAGCGGAGATGGATAGTGGCTAGCAGTGGAATCCAGTTTGACGCGCGTTTCGTCCTATTTGGGACTCGTCAGCTGGATGTACCTGCATCTCAGAGTTGATGTTCACTCTGGGACTCGAACCCAGTACCCTCGCTTCAAACGCCATCGCGTTATCCATTCGGACGAAACGCGCGTCAAACTGGATTCCACTGCTAGCCACTATCCATCTTTGCTTATCATGCTTGTGAATCAAGGCTATATCGAGGCAATACGCACAGTATGCACATATGCCAATTAGAGACTGACCAGTTGCAGTCCTAACACATCGATGGGAAGATCCAAACAAACAATACTAAGTGAATTCAATGTTCTATGTTGTTACTATTTCATTGTTTGGTAGTAAGAAAAGACACAAACAAACAAACAGAAGTTCTTTTGTTGTTGTTGTTTATTTTGAATAGAAATTTTTTTATCATGAATTAATTATCAATTTGACTGGTTATTGAATTAAATTTTTAAGTGGAGAAAAAAAACGGTAGATGATTGTTTTATTAATTTTATTTATTTACTTTTATCTTATTACATTTTTGTGTAAAATACAAAAAAAATAAGAGAAAAATTTATTTGATTCAATAAACATGCTTAAGATTTTTTTAAAAAATAGAAGAGAATACTGAATAAAATTTTGTTGTTGTTGTTGTTGTTGTTGTTGGTCCAAATGACTATTTGTTGCTATGGTATTATACAAAAAATAATTTAAAGATTTTGTGTTATGAGATTAGTTTAATCAATTTTTTTTTTCCTTTTTTTTCTTTTTTAAAAAAAATGATAATCACCTCTAAATATTTAACCGTAAATAAAATGGACTTTGAGCGGTTTAATAAAATTTTAAAAAAAATAAAATTAATAATAATAATTAGTAATAAACAATTTTCGTGTAATAATAATTAACATCTAGCCTATACATAATTTTAATAAATAGTAAGATTGTTGTGTATGTTAGATTTCATCGACCACAGGAATTTGATCATGTATGTACACCATTTTGAAACGATATCAATCAATATAAAGGTGAAATTGAATGAATCAAAACAATATATCAATTCATTAAGCCCTTGGATATTAGTAGTAAATTTGTAAATATTATGAGTTATTTGACTGTTATACTAGGAATTATCGAAATAAATAATTACTGTTCCTAGATTATAAACTTAAGGATCGAAAAGATACCTTGCATATTTTAGGATCATAGAATGAAGAATCCCGAGGTTATACACTACAATTTAAGTAAGGATGTCAAGTCGATCAAAGTGTTGAGGACATATATTATCACTGCTTAACCACATCCTACTTCGGTGGGTGATGCAAGCTCATGTAAAAGTTGTTTAGTATAAGGCTAACGACAGCCAAGTTAAGACGTGGAATCAGTCTATCATGTCATTGTCTGCTGCTCCTCGCGATAACCGCAATCAATTGTTGAATTCCTTGGATGATAGAGCTCTGAATCTGTCACATTAGCACAGATAAACTAACTATTTATCTTACTCCCGATCTTAAGTTTTAGCGTTCATTTAATTATACCTTTTAACTCTGTCATCATATTTTTATTTTCCAGCCTTTTCTATTATCATTACTTCTACAGTATTTCGATTCCTTTGCCATTTATCTTGTTAGCCTCATCTTGTTTGTCAATGTAGTTTATCAATTTTGTCCCAAGTACATATATATCAAGCTGTACATTAATTATGACTGACTGATTTACAAATGCATTAAACTGACAATGGGATGCTGTACTGTTGATCCATTTTACTGTTATGCATAGCAAAGGATGAATATGATTAACTGTCTTACAAGAAAAATACGCTTTGTTATGAAAACTCTATCAAAACGACTGAAAATTCCATTTTCCAAAATCACTTTATATGACTCATAAGTTTTCATACCTGAACTCTCTTCTGATCAGTACATAAAAAACTATACATGCCCGATTAATTAATAAATTTCTTAGTTTATAATTCTTTGATTTGCAAAATTATTTTAACATCTTAAGTACAAGGAGACAAAGTGTTGCTTATCAATTTCTTCATTCGCACTGTGTCATAAACAAAACTGGAAGATTAAGTTTTCTATGGCTTTCTTTAATTCATGTGACAAAGCTTTGGTAATTCTGTACTAAAAAACATTGTGAAATAAGTTACACTACAATAAACTAACTAGAGTCTATAACATTCAAAATTCGATCTTACCTAGTTCACCCTACGATAATATTCTGTGCAGAAGTGTTATGAGTTGTAATTTATAGTTTGGTGAATGAACTTTTTATCGATAAAATCCATGATTCTATTGCTGATCGATAAATGATATACAATCATATTGAGTGGCCAAGTATGGCTACTCATTAAAACAAACAACTGAAGTAGGCAGCTGAATGATTTGATATTGAAGACTAGTGCATTAACGAGAATAATAAGTATTTTCTTTTCACGATTAATTACAAAACAGTGAGCGAAAAGACACACATGGTTGTAAGTTATTTAAAAAATGAACGGTTAGAAGACATGATAACGACAGGTCATTTACTGTTGAATAGTATCAATGCCTAACTCTTTCCCCATTATATCAACAAGAAACAAACGCTTTTAGCAGGGAGAAAAATTACATAATTTACTTCTTTACCTACAAGACTGTACTCTTAATCTGCTTTGTTGTACTGTTGTCCTATTCTGATTATAGTATACAAATTTCTTCTACGCAAGTCCCACCTGTTATGTAAGTAGAAAGACTAAGAGTATCTAGGACGTTATATTGACAGGGTATATATATATATATATATATCCTTCAAAAATTTAGGCCAAACTCTAACGAACCACAAAGCTGTTTAAACGCAGAGCGTATCTCCTTCTATATTATAACGGGTAGTTTAAGCTTCTGAGTAACCTGAATACTTTTTACTTTTGAATTGTTTTAACTCATCACCATCGTTTAGTTGTTCTCCTTCTTTTTCTTTTCTTTGCAAAAACAAACAACTATGTTTAGCTTGTCTATGTGGTATTCCTGATACACTTTTCATACACTTTACTATTTCAAACATTGCCAGATAAGATTTCAATTCATGAATCTATTGTTATCGGGTATTTTATTGCGAAATTGATTGACATGATTGAACAGGTTAGTTAGCTTTGATAATTAGTAATTTTTTTGTTTTTATGACATTTTTTATGCGTTTACAGGTTTAAGCGTACTCATCACGGTAGTGTGTGTTGATCTCGTTAAGTTATAAACATAAGCAGAATCTTGTTGAAGAAAGAATAAAGTTCTTCTATGTTATAAAAAAATTTCTGACAAGAATGATACTTTCTTAGATAATGTAATAGAGAACAGTGCAAATGATGACTAGTAACGTTTACAAACCTGAGTGGTGTTTTGAGATTGGATTACATATTAGAACCGTTTTACAGAGAGCTTATCAGTCTTTTTAAAATATATCGTCACTTGAGGCTATCATTAGCTTCTCGACAGCACAGCAATAATTTATTCACTATTCTTGTTATGGATAACACATTTTCACTAGGAATTATTTTTGTATGGACGCATTGGTGACAACGAAGTCACTTGCATGGTCGGTTGTTAAATAAGCAGTAAAGTTCGTAATAAGACCAGACGACTAACTCACAACCCTTATTAATAATGGAGGCGGACTTCACATTTGGGAACTGACTCAATTATGTGGAGAGGTTTGAGAACTAGTGATTATTTCAACATCTTAGAATGCGGCGGTAGTGGTCCCTATTTATAAAAAGGGTTTACGTCATCGATTCAATAGCTACCGGAGGATAAGGCTTTTTCCGATTGCGTTTAAACTATTGGCTTCTGTCAGACTTCACAGACAGTTCTAAGTTCATTAAATACTGAATCACGAAAACCAGGCTGATTCTCGTTCCTGGTCGAGAATGTACTGACCATATCTGCACCCTCCACTAAATGTTAGAGGACTATCAGACTTATTGCAGGCTAGTAATCCTTTCCTTTCTTAATATCAGACTCGCCTTCAATTCGTTAGACAGGACTGTTCTCGGATTGTTTATTGAAGAAGGGTTTGCCTGTATACAACGCCTTAGGCATAGTGATGGTATATTACCACCTTTCTCCATTGCTCCATTCAAACAATGTGGCTAGGGAGGTTTACTCAATCTTACCATTCCTCTTTAACTCTGCTATAAAGGAGATTCTGAAAACAACTCTGATGGAAGTGGGTAATGACGGTGTGGATCTGTTACTTGAAAAAAAACTTTTAGATCTTGCTTATGTGGGTTATATTTACTTTTTTGCTCGATAATAATCAAGACATGTAATCTTCACCAATTCAGTTGGCAATCACTGTCCATAGGTATGTCATGTGCTTTACACCTTCTAAGTGTAAGGTAATTTTGTAACTGTCAAGAGCCTGGGTCCGCACTCACTCTTGTTGGTGAGACTTTATAAGTAGTCGAGACGAGCGTGTTTCGGGGTAGCCGTATAATATTGGTAATGATGTATGTGATGAGATCAACTTACGTGAAGGCCAGAGCAGTGTATATTAACCTGGAACATCTATGGTACTGTCTACATGTAAGTCTTATAGTTCTGTGCTACGCTTTGATACATGATCTCTCCGAGTTATGGATGTCATGCGACTCTTTTTGTTTGGTCATCGTTGTCTCCGAAGGATTGCTCACATTTAGTGGGAACATCATGTTAGTAATTTTGAGGTTCGTCATTTGTTTTCAATGTCATCACTTTGGAACACAGATTTCAGTGACTTGGATATGTACTACGATTGTCTTCCTGATGACTTCCACATCACGCTTTGTATGCCGACCTTTACACTGGTTGGAAAAAGAGGAGAGGTGACAAGTGCATGACATAACCCCAGCGTCTGAAAAAACCATACAGGACTGGCAGCTGTCGATTCATCACGACTCCCCGGTTCAGTCCTTAGGGATAGTACGACACAGTGTCTGGAGAAGCTATCAGATGTTGATTAGAATTAGAGTTAATGGCGGTCCTGCTATAATTCTCTTTCACTCCATAAAATTAAGAGCAAATTCTGCAAGTGAAGTGTCCTTTGTAATAGCGTTTTCCTAACTGAACTGATTTTCCCCATATATAATACTCTTGTTCATTTAATTGTACTCATTTAATTATTTTCTGACTATATTCGATTTCATTCATCTATCTCTTCACAGTTTTATTAGTACTGGAAGGTTAAAATGAAAAGCTTTGATAGTCGCTTTAGACAACACTAGTAGCTATGGTTATTTGTGCACAGTAAAGAATAGACAGATTTTATGTTTTAATCTAACGTCCTGTCGGTGTTCCAGTTTTCACTGCATGGTGTTTCATTTTTTAGCCTATAGAAAGTTGATAATCTTAAGGTTACTCACATATATATTAACTTGTACGTGCCTTTTTTGCTTTCAGATTTCTCAATCTCAATTTGGGCTATTATCCGCTCAGTGGCATGATTTATATTGGAATAAATCTGATGTAGTTTTAGTCTGTTTAGGTTTATTTAGTGCATTGTTACGCATAGGCTTCAGTAAGACTTTTATCCTTGCTAAGTCATTCTATGTTATAACATGTAAGTTCATGATGTATACACGTATATAACCAATTTTACACAATATTTTTGTAGAGTTTTCTTCACGATCTGACATCAAACGCTCAGAACCATTAAAAAACAAATAAGTATTAACTATTATTTTGTAGTTGAAATCATGAGTCAATTGAAGCTAGACCACCATGGAAAACCTGGAAGCACTGGACGACCGTTCCGTCCTATTATGGGACTCCTCAACAGTGCGCACTTTTTGGTTTGCTGTTCCTTACTAGTCCTCGTCCATCCGCTCCATAATATATTGAATCCGAACGTTTCACGGCTCTCTGCGAGGATATACTTTCAGAACACATTGAGTCACGTTCTAATTGTTCACATCTCCAGTTTCAGGGAGTACATGAAATATCACAATCATTAACTTTGGTTTATAGGTAATGTGTTATACTTCAACATAGTTGTACGTACACGCGTTGGTAACGCCCGAGAATTCTTCAGAGAAGCCTTTAGAATCTGTAAAAAGTCTGAAAATACTTCGTCCATCAGTGCTAACTAGAAACTACCCAGAGATTTCTAGAACAACAAACGTTTAGGTTTCGTACTCTGATTGGATAGTTACCTATTTTGTTACTATATTTAGTGTGATTCCATAAGCCTCTAGCATGTCAAGGCTACCCTTAAACCTGTAAATATTTTGTTTATCGTACAACCTTCTATTTACACTTCTTGCTTCTACCGTTTTTGACTCAAGTATAGTAGGATAATGGGGAACTAAAAAGAGTTTTCGGAGTTATCATCAGGTGTTCAAGTACTAAACATCACACCGATCACAGTTTATAACTTTGACGAAACAATCATTCAATACGCTTTAGTTTACATTAGTTCTCCAATGGATGATGAAAGCTAACTTCAAATAGGAAAATCTTTCATAACCACATACATTGATTATATTCCTTGAATATTTACTATATGCGTAATAGTTCTAATGTGTAACGAAATTATGTTGTTTACTAGTCAAATCTTTCAGTTTAAAAGCAGAAGTTGGAGCTTTAAAAAAGTCATGTTTACCCTAAGTAGTGTATACTCACAGTTATAATTATATACACTAATAAATAAATGTTATAGCATTTCATCATATGTCCTTTATATCTAATAAGGATTTTGGATATATGTATAAGCGTGAAAATATTTACCCATTGAATTAACCGACTTGTATGAAGTATCAATTAGCTAACACTTTTTTTGGCATTATCTTTAGTAATTCAGTCGTTCTGAAACAACAGATAAGTCATTATATAGAAAGCATACAAATTAAATAATGAAAGTTTCCCGAATACAGTGAAATCTCTTGTTCCTACACATTTCCTCATTTGAGCATTTTCAGTAATATGTAACCACAGAAGTACAATATAGTATATAAAATCATTCACAATCAATCTAACAGTCCGATTATTGTAATTAATTTTTTAATTAGTTATCTAGGGCTCGTTAGTTGTTTTATTAGGTTTGTACGTATTAGTTAGATCACATTAGACACTGACTGTCAAAATGGAGTTAATGATAACTTTAATATTTATTGGAAGATCTCATTATATCGAGTGAATAGAGTAGATACATTAGCAGTATGTAGATATCATAACCGAGGTTTGACTTGATCATTTCAAATACATTGAGCATTTGATGGATTGTTATAAATAAATAAAAATATATTTGTATTATTACAATGAGTAGAGAAATTAAATTTTCTGACGTTTCGCGACTCAATGTAAACCGCTTCTTCAGAAAATAAATAACCACATTTAAATTAATCCAAGTTTAAATAGTACTCATTGTGATAATACAAATATATTATTTTTATTTATAGAAATTAGCAACATATTTCAGTCCAATTTACTGTATTCTGTTGTTTTAATAAATAATTAATGCGATTAGCAAATAAATAATAATGTCGTTCATAAGGACGATGAATGCTCCATGACCAAGTCATCCAGCTCAGAGAACAAAACTCCATCAAAATTACCCACCTGAGCTACAAATCTTCTCCACTATCTCAATAATCTAAATTTTAATTCATTATTGATTATATTGTGGTATATGTTGCCTATATCGACATAAGTAGTATATAACAACAGTCAGAAGACGAATGCCTGGCAGCAAAAGGCTGGGAAGATCGAATCGAAGAGAATGGCAGGAGAAAGTAATTGTTGTGGCAATATTTGTTGGTTTAGAGTATTTTGTTTAGACGAACCAAAGACTTGTTTTACATAGTATTATATATGTTAATTCTAGATCCCAAGATTCACACTAATTATGTTAGACTGAATAACTGTTAAATTTATGACATAAGGACTTAATATAATACTTAGCGTTCAGTTTTCTAGCAAACGAAATCAACTGAAAATCTTCAATGTGAAGCACACTAGACTAGGTTTCATTTCGTACTAAATATGATAAAATGTTATTTTATCAATCATATACAAAAAATATTTGCTTCATTATTAACATTAGCCACTTTATAAATATGAAGGATTGTGGTTCGCGGTAGAGTCTAGGTAACGCTTTTTGTTCAATTTCAGGTTCATCGATTGGATGTACCTGCTTCTCAGTTTTGACTTTTACTCTTTGACTCGAATTTGACGCCTTTTATAGCAAACGTCAATGCGTTGTCTACTGAGCTACTAAGTTCAGATACTTAGTAAATTTTAACCTGTATGTTGTTTACATAATTATTAGTAAGATTTGAGTTCTCCAGTTGTTGATTTTTAGGACTGCATTTCAATCAGTCCTTATTGGCACACCCTGAATTCCACTACTAGCCACAAATCATCCGTTCTACAAGAAATGATCATATCGAGGCACTAGTCGAGATTATGTCCTGAATACTGTATAAATGGTTTTACTTTATTTTGTGGTTCATTAATGATTTTTTTAATTATTTTTTCCGGATATTTTATGTTTTTTTCTCTTTAATATAGTGGTTGGTTGTTATTTAAAAGTCTACAGTCTCTATTCACATCATCCACGTTTGGGTCCTAAATTAGTTATGATTCGAAGTATGCTAATTGAATTGCTAATGTTTATATTCATACTTGTCGTTGTACTGGTTAGTTATGGTGTATCACAACAAGTATTACTTTATCCATATCGTGCTGATTTTTCATGGAGAACTTTACGTGATATACTTTATTATCCTTATTGGAATTTATATGGTGAAATTATGTTGGAATATGCTTTTGGTAAGGTTCACTGAATGACTGTTGAATATTTTACGAATAATCCGTTTTAAAAAATAATCTGACTAAATGGTGAAATGTACAGCACTTTGATGAATCTGTTTCACTAAGAACATATGTTTGCCGCTTACCGTATTATTCGTTATAAAGTGTAGAGAGATTTGTGTAATGTTACGATAATTTACAGACCAACATACACTGGTCTTACTGAGCAGTCCTGAAGGTTCACTGGATAGAGTTTTCTGTTGTGCACTTCTATTGAGTTTTAAACTGAGACGAAATAACTATGCCAGTGCTCGTTGTTTCATATGGAGAAATGTCTCACTGATTTCCAGGTTCGAACACCGCTTTGAATATTGGTATCAGCAGTTCTCACACAGTATGGGGCACATAAATCTGTACATCGTGATATGTTAGCCTTGACTTTCAGTTATCATGTATTTAATGTTGATTTGTAAAATAAGTCACTTTCAAATTCACTTAGAGTAACTTAAAATAAAACATTCATCAGAAATCATCAGATCGAAAGTCGTTATAAGTTAGTTAGATTTGTTTGTAACAGTTCGCTAAATAGTTTCAGGCAGTTCTACCACTTACTAAGATTCCTTCAGTAAGCATTTTTAGGTAGTCATATTTTACGTTATTCTAGTATATCAATAATTTTTTTTGTGAATGTATCGTTTCTTTATTGGCATTTGACGTGACTAAACAATGTTATTTGTTTTTAGTTCGAAAGTATTAACTACTATCAAATTAAAAGTAGTGTAGATGGTTCAAGCCAATATTTAACATCACACTAATTCTCTAATCTTAATACATGTCTTAATAATACATAATCCTAAAAAATATGGTAAGGCAAAATGTGTCTACACTGAACTTATTTTTAAATAGTCATCTCATATACTTAGATCAACTAGAAGTGGAAACATACTTCTACTTTATGACAGTTTACAAAATCTCAGCGCAACTTCACTGTTTCCATTCAGTGTAAAAATTTCCCTAGCCCTGAATCTTTTCTTAAGAGGAACCATGATCAAGAGTATTACCTCAAAAGAAGACAAGCTAAGGGAAGAAGAGAATATATTAAACATCCTACTGTTTAATACTTTTTTAGGAATTTTATCTAAAACACATTCAAACAAAACTATCCTTTTGTAAATAACAATGAAAAATCTTGGATTGGTATTACCGCGAAGGTACGACAGAAGAATTACAACGGATTGAAACATTCTGTAGAACAACAACAAACTCTTTAATTAGAATAAAAGATAAGAGCCCGTTCACTTCTACACAAAATTGTGTCTACAGATTAGGTTTTGTCGATTGTAATGTGTTCTACATTGGAGAGTCTTCCTGTGAGATCTCGACTCGTGACAAGCAACAAGTAAGTTACACAAAAAGACCTAATAATTCTGTAGAATTGGAAAATTTATAACAGTACGTGGTATTTTCAACAACTCCCGAAATGATGTTGAAAACATCAAGATAATTCAGAAATGCTTTTCCGTTTATATAAGGAGACGAGTAGCCGAAGCGTTTCATATAATTCTAAATCCCTCTGCCCTCAGTATGGAAAGAAAACCTGAATATTCATTCAACCTGGACTGTTTATCCAACCAATTACATTTGACCTTATTTATTTAACATGAAATCTACTCATATACAGAGACACCCAATCTCAACCCCATTACTTCATATTATAAAATCATACAGTTTCTTATACACACATTCTGACGGACAAATTAATACAGTGACAGATCATTTAAATTCACATTTATCAAGAATAACTTGACATTGACATATTCAGACCTATTATGATTTCGATTGTACTGAAAGCATCCTTGCCAGATCATTCTCAACTAATCTCATACCAAAAATGTGGAGAAAGATAAAGATAATCCCAATACCTATGAAAGTATCTGGTGATAAAAATGTAAAATTTAGACCCATAGTAAACGCTTCGTCTTTTCTCAAAGCAATCAAAAAATTAATAATATTCCCATCTCAATATGCAATAAAAAGAGTACAGTGATCCGCATCAGTTTGCTTACAAATTCAAAAGAAGCACCTTAGATGTTGCCATTACTCTGCATCACAATGTTAAAAGCAGTGTTGTATGTTTAAGTAAATTGAGCCAGACAGTTAATGAAGCTTATTGCTGTATAATTTTAAATAAGAAATCAAAGAAAATACCTAGGGAATTCATGTCAGTTACAATTATCTAAGTGCATTCAGTTATATCTTCACAATCTTTCACTGATTTCTCAATCTTCACAGTGTTTGTATACTTTTTTTCATCTTGAACTGGTATAACTTTAACCAATCAGTATTTTTATTTCTATTATTATTCCCTCACTAGGGATTATTCCATAAGTGTTTTATTTCCCACTTATTCGCTATATAAGCTGTGCAACACTAATAATATCTGAGTTCAATAGATTTTCCTATAGTCTCCATTTCTCTAATAACATTTTGTGTTTGGTTACATATATAATCGCTGATTATTTATTATTTTGTTCAAATATAGGTGAAAGTGATGCATGCACATTGACTGGTGTATTGAATTCGGAATGTCCAATGTCCAATTATCTAAGTCCATTATTTTTAGCTATTTATTTAATGATTGCTGGAATCTTATTAATCAATCTGTTAATTGCAATTTTCAGGTAAGTTATGTTTTAATCGACTGGTTTCTATGGACTAATTTATAAATAATAAAAAAATTACAGTAATAAATGATATAAGGCGATGAAAAATTTGAAAAATTTATTTCTGATATTTACTGTATTTCGTCCATTTAAGATTGCGTCATACTATGCGGCCAGGTGTAGCTATGTGATTCATTCTATAATCTACAAAAGTATCAATAAACACATGAAGTAGATACTGATGGTGTTGACCACTGTGACATTGATAGCTTCTTAATTCAACTATATAGTTTAAAAGAAAACAAAAAAGGACATAATACGTTAATCTATTTGACACATAAACTTTATCAGTTTAGGGTTGTGGTGTTCGCTGAGTTTAGATTGACATCATCAATTGAACCACTAGGTTTTCACTAGTAGTTTAACGCTGATCCATTCATGATATCGATCTTAACTCAGCAATTTTTAAAACCCTATAGTGATAATTATCGTGTACTCACTAGTGACTAGCTTGAAGATGGATTTCCTGGAGTTCTAGTGGAAGCCATGACCAGTGGAGTTCAGCCGTATCTGTTGTGAGGCAGCTATTCACTGAAGTTAATTGAGGACGGTAGTGCAATATTGTGAATTGGTTGATGTTGGACAATAACACTAGCGAAAGCTAAAGCAGCAGTCTAGAGGTTAAGTGTTCGCGCGCGAGCCTGAGGGTTCTAAGTCCGAGCCCCGAAATGCCCTGGTACGGCCGAAAGTGTGGAGAGTCCGCTCTTCCTTTCCAAATGCTCTCACATGGCCACGCGAATATAGCCTCAGCCAGGAAAGTCCTACTCACTGCCTTCTCGTGGCAGGGGTGTTGTTTACGAAAAGCGAATGTCCGGCGCTTTAACCGGGTTGGTGGATACGGAAAGTCCACCTAGGGGAGTTGGAAAACCCTGATTCCAAACCAATGGTGCACATGGGCTCCAGTATCCTGAAGGAACAAGTGGCGCTTTAATCAATTGCTGGTCATCGGCTACCATGGGACTGTATTTCCTCACGATACTCCACTGCCTTGTGGATCAGACCTTTAGGTCAAAGGCTCGGGATGTGGCTCCCTAGGAAAACAACCTGCTTCGGTTTGGGCACCTGGGCAGCATCACAGCTCTCACACAAATCAAATGAGATTTGTGCGGCGCATATATATCTGGTGCCTCTTTGTACAAATATTTATGTGTTTAAATAAAAAAAATAAGAAAAGTCCGAGTTCCGCATGCGGAATCGTGGATACTCACTGTTGAGTAGTCCCATACTAGGACGGAACGGCCATCCAGTGCTCCGAGGCTTTCAATGGTAGCTTAACATCGATACATTCGTGATATCAATATAAACTTTGTGTTGGTATTGTAAGCATGGTTGTTATTAAAGTGTTTTTTACGAAACTTTTTAACACTTTATTTGACTTTCAACAGTTTTACACGTAATATCTTTTCACATGATGATGCTAATGATTAGATTTACTTTAAAGATACAAAATAATTTCCAGAAAATATTTTTTCACGTATTTGTATCTGTCTCGCTGCAGTGTATTTCATAGAATCATATACCAATGATGCGATGAAAACAAAGTATGATTACTGTACTCAAGTATTTAGTAACAGCCTTTTTTATAAGTAACAATCTTCAATTTTGTTTGTGAAAATAATATTTGAAATAATCTAACCGATTGAAATTTCAATAATTCTTTTAATATGATGGAAATCTTTAAATAATTCTAACAGTTGTAAGCAAAGATGGATAGTGGCTAGCAGTGGAATCCAGAACGCGCGTTTCGTCCTATTTGAGACTCGTCAGCTGGATGTACCTGCATCTCAGAGTTGATGTTCACTCTGGGACCCGAACTCAGTATCTTTCGCTTCAAACGCCATCGCGTTGGCGTTGTAGATGCAAGTACATCCAGCTGACGAGTCCCAAATAGGACGAAATGCGCGTCCCGGATTCCACTGCTAGGCACTATCCGTCTTTGCTTACAATGCTTGTTAAATAAGGCTATATCGAGGCAATACGCACAGTACGCACATATGCCAATAAGACCAGTTGCTGTCCTAAACATCAATCGGAAGATTCAAACAAGTAATGCTAAGTGAATTTAATTCCAACAATTCTTAGATAAATTTGATTTTGATTATTACCATGATGATGTTCAGATAAGTTTGCTGTATGAAATATTGGAATTATTTAAGTTTTATTCCATGAGTTTATTTCAAATATAATGCTCATAAATAATATCGTCTCTAAACTCGGCACCCAATTTCTGTCTAACTATTTGTTCAAGTATTGACGAAAAATCGTATAAATTATCTTCAACTTTGATCTAAATAGAATCCAATGTCATTCCGATCAAAACTATAATCTACTGTAAGCAAAATAAATTCAGTCTTTCGATAGTTTTCATTACGGACTGTTCTTACATAACCATTGGATATAACGAAATATTGGACAACTGCTTAATCCTAGTGTAGTATTCTTCAACTATGTCCATATCTAGTCATACGGGGTTTCATACCTTGGACTTTCATATCTTGTTGGTTTACTTTCTTAACTCTAATTGCGGTCGTTCATATTTCATGATATGGTTTATTATTTTCGATCTTTTCAACTTCATTCTTTCTGTGTTTTATCCTTTTGTATATCGAATTAGATTACTTAATAAAATCGTATAGCTTATATTTTTGTCAATCCTTATAGGACGTGTAATCTTTTTATATTCCCAAGTGTTTGCTTATATTCTTATTCTTATTGTAATCGTATTTCCCCAGATCGTTTCAGTTACCAAATTAGCTAATTAGTCAGCTTTCACTTCAGGCCCCAGTGTTAATTCAGAACAACGAAACACATTGAGTAAGAAATCTTAGTTAAAAATCAGAATTATATTAACAAGTGAATCATACTTCATTATCTGAGAAAAGTGCTGTTGATCATAACATTTTAAGGTAGTCAATAGAATCCCATAATAATGCTACAGTTGTTCAAACCTCCCAGCTTACGATGGTCTGTAATCATTCAAAATCTGTCTTCAAATGTACATATATATATATATATATATATATATATATATATCACAATTAATTTCATATTTGTCGCTTTATGCCGTGTTTTTTCCCTCTACTATTTTTTAAATCAGTAATGTATTTGAAAAAATTGAAGAGAATTCAATTGAATTATGGAAATTTAATATATTTTCAATAGTATTGGAATACAGTAGTAGACCAGTTCTACCGGTACCTTTCTCTAGTATCACATCTATTATCAAATTTATATTGTATTGTCTACGTTGCAAAGTAATTTATTCAAAGATTCAACAATGTAAGTGTAGAGCATAATCATTTATGAAACATGTTTCTTTAAAGTATATATTAATTGATATTATCGGTGGAAACCAATTAGAACAACATATACAAACGAACAATATTGTTTTCGATTAGATCCTCATTAGGCTCAACTCTAATATACAATAATACTTATATGGATATACGAATTTATTAAACTGAGTTAATGATATCAGTGGAATAGATTACATAACTAAACATAGTAAGCAAAACGTACAAATTAGTAGTGTGATGACAGGTGTACTGGTTGTGATAAGAATAATAAAGCCTTGAATCAATGTTACATAATAGGCAATAGGTCAATGATTGGAAAAATAGATACTGAAATAACATTTATAAATAACTATAAAATTACATAATAAGAAGTGTTCAGATAATTGGACATTGAAGCGTATATTTGGAAAAAATAGGTAGGAGGGGTTGAAGAAAAATAAACGAATACAAAGACTTGGATTGTTAGCTTGAATTCCTATAGCTTCTGCTATGCGTAGGAGATAAGATCGAACCCCATAAGGAAAATTAGTAGGAATACGATAAATTAATTAAAAGGACTTATTTGTCTCTACTGCATGGCCGCTAGCAATCAAGTATGACCGAATGGAGCTTAATATTGTTTTGATTCTACCCTATCATAGTAATGAAGAGAGGTGTTCACTAACTCGTTTCCTCGGTTGTACAGTTGTACGCCCAATACAGCTTTCTCCACAGGAGCAGCTGAATTCATAGAAACACTCAGATGAGGCAGAACCAGGTAACTTATCCCTAGATCGAGCCAATAAAGATAGACAGAGGTTAACTGCATTAACTTTTCTCTTCACTGTTCTAGTCAGTCTATCTCGTTGCACATCACCAGCTATATCTCCGTCGAATTTCAGCTTCAGGAAAAAGGGGGTTCTTACTAGCTGTTGATGTCGCTATTTTCCTGTTTGTTAAATGCACATTTTTCTTCAAAAAACTTTGTGGGCAACTCATTTCAATCAATATATTATTAATAAACTCTAGTTCCTTATTTGAAGTATCGACTGAGCATATCTTCCTATGTCTATCTGCAAGACATCTTAATAGGTTTCTCTTATAATGAATGGGTACAAAGCTATGGAAATGTGTGCACTAGCTTACTGAAGAACCTTTCCTACATTTCTACTTTCTTTCCTATCTAACAAAATGTCAAGGAAATGTAGTTTATTATCAAGTTTCTCGTCACACGTAAATTTGATTGCTTAATCTTTATTGTTAAATAGCTCTAAGAGTTCTTATTTCCCAATGCTTTGATCGACGATAATGAAAGTGTCATCAACGTAACGATAATAAAAGTCAAGCTTATCGATAACCTTTTTAAGATATCCGTTTTCTAGTTTCTCAAGAAAAAAAATCATTCAGGATAGGACCTAGAGGTGAACCCATCGCTATTCCATCAATTTGTCTATATAATTCGTTATTAAAAACAAAACAGACTTTCATTGTATATTTCAAACAAATTTTATACATTATTATTGTACATTTACTAGCCGTAGTTACAAAAGTCCAGTGTCTTTTAACTTAAATTATTAATATCTAAATTAATAACTGCTAATGTGTTCTAGATAAACGTCACTTTTTCCTCTCCCACATAATATTAATAAGTCGAATTTGAAAAGCGAATATTTATGAATCATATCAAGTTAATAAGAGGATAATAATTCATTTCTTAATGACCTATATACATGATATTAAAATTACTACAAAGTAATTTGTAAATGGCAAACCTTTGTGATTCACCTTTATGATGAAGTCAAAATATTACTTTGCCAATCAACTACTGCATATGTAAAACTTATTCAGAATAATCAATCCCATCACACGTAATCTTATTTGAACAAATTTGAAATCATATAATCAGTAATCATGAAAGTAATTAAAAGCTTAAATAAACATTCTAATGTAAATTACACTTTAATACGTGGATGCTAGAATGTGACAAGACTGTAGAAGAAAATCGATCTATATATGAAGTTTTTTAATTGAAGTTTACATTTCAAATATCATTTAACGTCAGCTAAGTCTTCTTTAATACAAAAATCAAACCAATGGGCGATACAAACAAAATAAAGAAGTGAACAATAACAGTTTTAAGGTTAACAAGAATCAATCAACATCGAGGTCTACATGACAAGCTGTGAGCCGTATATGGAGAAATTCGAACATTTCACTTCTACCTGAAGTTTGTGCTGTTGATGTCGTTCAGAAGAACGGTGAAAGCACCACGACCAAACCATCCAACTCAGAAGACAAAACTCGATCAAAACCTGTACTTAATAAACGTACTTCATAATTTAAAATATTTTCAAACCAATGTATAAGCTGTTTTAAAACGTTTATGTATATAAATAATATAGACAATTCAAGTGTTAGTAGTTTGCCTGCTAAATAAAATCAACTGAAATACTGGATGCTAATTTCTGTCATTTGGATTTATATCACCAATTTGAATATTCTTAAACATTAAATAAGATCTTGTTTTAAGTAGACATTTTTTATAATGTAATTCAGAAGGCCAGGATAGCTCAATATCTTCTTATCACAGTTTCAAAAACTCAAGAACTGTGACATCATAATTTTCAATATTCTTTGCATATTTTTACATTATACCAATATGTAAATAGATGCGTTAATGTGTTCTAAGTAGTAATGACACACTAAGTAAATAATTTTCAAATATTTTATAAATAACTCTTGATCAATACTACAGGTTGTAAAACAACACCTCCAGTTGATCAAAGTGATGAAACAAGTTCATTAACCAGTTCAAGTAAAGTTGTCATCAGCTACAAAGAAAATCCTAGATTAATCCCTGACTATATAAAGAAGAAACCTAAGAAAAATTCGAATCAATATAACGGTGTTGATGATAATGATGAATTTCCTAATCCTAGACAATTAGAAAACTATTGCAAAGGTGTACTTATTAGAAAGAATCTATTAAAACAAAATGAATAGTTTATATTTTCAAGATATAACAATAATACCAGAGGTCAGTTATGTTGTTTTTTTCATAACAAAGCTATTCAATCGAAAAATTGTGTTCAATATAAATTTCCTGATAAATTCATTGAATAATTAGTAGAGATTTCATTCAATAGTAGAGAAAATTATTATTTCAAAAGTTAGACATTAACACCGTCGGATGCCGGCTCAGTGGTCTATCGGTTAAGTGCTCTGGCGCGAGACTGGTAGGTGCTGGGTTCGAATCTCGCGAGTGCGGGATCGTGGATGCGCACTGCTTAGGAGTCCCATAATAAAACGAAACGACCGTCAAGCTTTGCTTCCAGGTTTTCCATGGTGGTCTAACTTCAATTGACTCATGATTTCAATTATGAAAATATTTCAAAATTCTATTGAAAAAAAAACATTTTGAAATCTAAATAGGTTATTTTAACCAATGAATAGATGATTAAATGTTATTGATCAGTTGGTGTTTTTCAGGGTATAATAACTTCAACTTGGGAGCTAAGACAAACTAGACAGTTATTTTGATTTCGTTTTATTTATTTATTGTAACACATAAATGTTGGTACAAAGAGGCACCAGATATATATGCACCGCACCAATCTCATTTGATTTGCGTGAGGGCTTGGATACTGCTCAGGTGCCCAAACTGAAGCAGGTGGTTTTCTTAGGGAGCCATACCCCGAGCCTTTGTCTTGAAGGTCTAACCCACAAGGCAGTGTAGCATCGTGAGGAAATACAGTCCCATGGTAGCCGGTGACCAACGATTGATTCATACACCACTTTTTCCATCAGGATACTGGAGCCCATGTGCACCATTGGTTTGGAATCAGGGTTTTTCAACTCCCCTAGCTTGACTTTCCGTGTCCACCAACCCGGTTAAAGCGCCGGACATTCGAGAGGGAGAGCGAACTCTCCTCACTCTCGGCCGTACCGGGGCATTTGAGGGCTTAAGTCTGGTTCGGCCCCGGACGACCATACCATGTTGAAATCACCGATTCTCGCCCGATCTCGTTTAGTACTCCTTCGCTCTGCACACCAACGACGCTGTTGGGTACTTAAAGTCAGAAACTTTAATTCTCTTATCAGAGATAGCATTTCAGTGTTTGTGGCTATATAGCTTACTTGAATATTAGATTTCTCAGTGGTGTAGACGCCCCCAAATGCCCTGGTACGGCCGAGAGTGTGGAGAGTCCGCTCTTCCTCTCCAAATGCTCTCACATGGCCACGCGAATATATAGCCTCTGCCAGAGAAGTCCTACTTACTGCCTCCTCGTGGCGGGGGTGTTGTTTACGAAATTGAGAGGACGGAAAGCGAATGTCCGGCGCTTTAACCTGGTTGGTGGACACGCAAAGTCCACCTAGGAGAGTTGAGAAACCCTGATTCCAGACCACTGGCTCCACTATCCTGAGAGAACAAATGGCGTATGAACCAATTGTTGGTCACCGGCTACCATGGGACTGCATCTCCTGACGATGCTCCACTGCCTTGTGGACTAAACCTTCAGGTCAAAGGCCCGGGGTGTGGCCCCCTAAGAAAACCACCTGCTTCAATCTGGGCACCTAGGCAGTATCACAGCCCTCACACAAATCAAATGAGATTTGTGAGGCGCATACTTATCTGGTGCTTCCTTGTACCAATATCTATGTGTTTAAATAAACAAATAAATAAGAACAATGATGTAGAGGAATAGAAAATTGAAACCGTTATGTTCTAATGGTCCGTCTATATCGTGCGACTAGTACACTGATTTATATGACCTTGGCAATGTGTCAAACTAATGACCCGGTAACCAGTAGAGCTGCCTAGAACTATCTCTAATTCCTTATTGGTTCTTCCTTAGCCCTACCCGTTTGGGTGCAGAGCACAACAGACAGTGCTAGACCACCGTCATTTATTAAAATGTTATAAAATATAATTTTTGTTGTTCTTGCTCTTTTTGCTTGATTTCCTTGATTTTATGCAAAGTAAAAGTATCATATAATTAATTCATATGTGCATGTTTCTCTTTCTCTTTCCTTCTTTTTTAAGATTTAAAAGCAAGAATGAAATTATAGATTGCTGTCCAATTACCACAATCTTTATAATTTGAATAATAATAAAAAGAAGAAGAATGAGCATTTCTTTTATATATTATAAATAACTTGATTCTAATGTATTCTCATCGTCTTTTTCTTTTCTTGCTAATAATCTCTTACTAATGTACTTTTATTAATATAGACGCTTTGAATGGTTTGTAATTTCCCCTTCAATAGTCTTTCCTTTCTTTTTTTTTATCATGTTATTGTGGTTAGTTTTTTCCTTATTTTGAAAAAAGAAAACCGATTTGTATCTTTGAATTATTTTCTTCAATTTTATGAATTAATGCAAAATGTATAACCATTTAAGATCATACATAAATAAATACACACGGGATATCTGTGGCATTTTATTGTGATAAGCGATATATGATATACTTATATATATATAATTGAAAAAATGAGGCTAAAGTATATAGACAAACTTCGCTGATGTTTGAACTGGCCTAGTGACATCTCACAACCACTTCTCAAGTTCAAAATAAGGTTATGGATTAAGAGTTTAAATTAGGAGTCAAGATAAGAATTTAGGATTAATGTCTTCATCTTCTGTAATGCAAGAACTCTGTATAGTCAAAAGGATGAATAAATTTTGAGCACAAATTTCGGAGGTGTTATCTTAATTCTGATTGGTTTGTTTCTGTAGTCTAATTCCACCCAGAAAATCAAATTATCAGTAGGTCGATAATGTATTGAAATATATGCACTGAATTTATTTCTGTTTAATTAAAATCACAATAACCTTGGAGTCAAACTAGGTTCCCACATAACTGTTCTCAGTCATAGATACATAAATCGATATCAACAGATGGGATAAATAACCCATGTTGGCCATTTTTTTCATAATATATCGTAAGTGATATTATACACATTCAGATTAAAAGAAGCGAAAACAAATAATAAAAGTCACTACTAATTTACAAAATCTGAAAAACATGTTTCGTACGACCAACTGGGAAGTATTTACAGATGATTCAATAGAAAACACAACGGATGTTGTCACCTGTTATCTTAAATTCTGTTTTGATATTTACTATCCTACCGAAACCTTCTTTTTAAGTTTTGATCGACTTACATCTCCACAACTAAAACGACTACGGAGGGTAAAAGAAAAGATGTACAAGGAGAAAAACACTATTGAAGTTCGTAAGTTAAATGGTCAAATAAGCCTAGAGATTAGATGTCTCAACTCTAAGTTTACTCAGAAACTCCTGTCTTGCAAAAGCTCTCCAAGTATGTGGAAACTCTTCAAAGAAATTACAGGGGACAGGCAGACTAGAAGCGATAACCAGCTGAATGTTTGTGACTTAAATAAGTCCTTTATTCGTCAGTCATCTGACATCATGCTCCTTATATCCAAGGGTTTGAAGAATAATTGTGTCCCCAGATTCACTGAAAATGATGTACGGAAATGTGTCCAGTCTCTGAATTCATCCCAATGTTTAGGACCTGATGGTATCCCAAACCTTCTTTTTTAAAAATGTGCTGATGTTTTATGTTAGCCATTAACGAATATCTTTAATAGATCCTTCTCAACTAATGTCTTACCGAAAATGTGGAGAATGATAAAAATAATCCCTATACCAAAGAAAGTTTCTGTTGATAAAAATGCGACCCATAGCAATAACCTCACCTTTCCTCAAAATAATGGAAAAATTACCTATACAACCACTTCAACCTGCAATAAAAGAACACTGTGATCCATTTCAGTTTGCTTACAAATGCAAAAGAAGCACATTAGATGCCGTTGCTGTTCTGCATCACAATATAGTGTTCGGGTTGGAAAAGGGTAAGAAGTATGTTAGATGCGCTTTCCTGGACTTTACTTCTGCTTTTGATTCTATTCCAAGACACCTCTTACTTAACAAGCTGATTAGCATCGACACTGACAGCTGGATAACCAATTGGCTACGTTCCTACCTTTCTGGAAGAGAACAGTACACTGTATTTGAAGGAAAGTGTTCAACATCTTTACTGTCTATTGTAGGTGTGCCACAAGGAGCTGTTCTTTCACCTCTGCTTTTCTCTTTCTTTCTTCATGATCTGCCATCTTCCACAGAAAACACTTTTGTGAAATATGCGGACGACCTCACTGTATGTATGCCGATTTCTACCTCCTTACATCCCATAGAAATGAATGAGTTTTTATCTCGTATTGAAAGGTGGTCTGTTGGTAATGGTCTCTTACTCAATCCATCTAAATGTCAAGCTGTTAACTTTAGCTTGAGACGTGGACAGAACCTATACTGTATTTTGGGATCCCATAATGCTTGTACCATTGGAGACTCCTTAATAAACACAGTGTCGATGGTCAAATATCTTGGTGTCATTTTTTCCTCTGATCTTTCTTGGTCTTCTCATGTTTTACTATTATCGTAAAACGTTTACCGTATGACATACTACATAAAGAGGCTGCATGCTTTTGGGATTACTCGCTATTTACTCTTACAATTTGCAAATTCCTGCATATTACCTATTATTCTATATTGTTCTCCATTATTCTTTCCTGGGCTTTTGAGAAAAGACTTTGCTATTTTGCGTAGAGTGCTGAAGGCAGTTTGCAAGGTATGTGGTGAATCTTTTGAAGTCATTGTTAATATGCTTGTGGATAGACATCTTAGGTCTTGCAAACTCTTGGCAGGTATTATCTTATCAGATACTAACCATCCGCTTCATTCATATCTTTCTCCTTGTATATCTTCTGGTAGAACGAGACGTAAATACATTAAAATCCATGCACGCAAGCAAATCTATAAAAGTTCTGTAATACCTTACTTAGCAAATTTACTTTGTGACGAACAGGTTGTTAGAGTTGACCTAGTAAATAACCTGTCTTCTTAAGCATGTTTCAAATTTGATAATTTGTATAAACTCAGATTTTCTTAAACCTTTTTTTTAATTCCTTTTCTGTTTTTTTTTGCTTTTTTTGTTTGTTTTTTTTGGTAAGAACTTGTTGAAATAACTCGTGCCGAGAATTCTATATTGTACCAGATTATAATATTGAATAAAGCCATTAATAATAGTAATAATAATAATAATTGTTACGAAGCGACGAGAGGTTCAATGATGTTATACTATTGTATCTTAAACTTATTACGTAATTCTGCATATTGATTCTTCAATATCTATTGCATGAGAAATGATTTTTAAAAGCATAAGTGTTAAAAAAATACATTTGCTATCATTTTTTCTGTTGATCACTTTGGTTTGCGGGAGACCGAAAATAGATCAGTTTCAGAAATAATGACCGAGTTATTACGAAATAAAATTAGTATGTTATCATACTAAATATAAATTATATACACAAAGAAAATATATTGGACGTTACTTAAATTGTCAGTAGTATGCATGTTCTTAATATCAAAATAATGACATCATTCGAAAGAATTACTTGAGGAAGGTCAATAAGATAATTTTTGAACATGGGTCGATCTACACTAATCAAGTTAATTTTGAGATATTGTACTTAAAATCTTCATTTATCAAACATTAACAACAAAACCTTAAATATTCTACACTATTCAACTCAACAGTGAGATTGTACCTTTCTGCAGTCTGTCGAAATCCATTTTACATGTCAGTAAAAAGTTTGCATGGGGAAAATATGTGCATTATACCCCACAATTATAATAACTACTGAAGTCTATAACTTTTACTGAATTTTTACGCCGAATACGAACCTTTTTTTCTCCATACCAATATGATTGCTATGCTGCCCTGATCAGAATCTATTAAATGTTTGCTCACTACTGTAGACTCAGTGCATACCTCACACAATTTCGATACATACATTGCAATCTGAGTAATGTTATCAAATACCTGAGTCTAATCACGCAGAACAATGTTTTTCCGATGTGTCTGAATATGAGTGGTAATTGTTAACTTCTCTGTTTCTTTATAGTGGTTGGTCAGGGATTTTGAGCCAGCAAAATTATGGTGAAGTATTCGTTTTACGTTAACCATTGAAGTTCGTTAAGTTAAATCTGGATATGAATCATACTTTAAAGTAGTTATTTGAAACAGCTTGTTCTCCAAGTGGATGATTAGTTTTTTAATACATTTTATTCCGCGATATCGAGGGATAATCTAAAGAAATATATCCAAAGGATTTTTTTAGTAACAATATTTTCCCTCTTTATGTCAGTGAACGTTAATTTGCAAGGTCCATGCCTTTTCGTTGGTGTATCGTTTCTATTGAAGCGTGATCCTTTTCGTTAATCGTCGGCTAAGCGAACATTGTTTATTTCAAATGTTAACGTGTGATACCTCTCAGCTATGTTCTTTGATTTCTTCCTATTAGAATATAAACTACATAATTAAAATCGCAGCATAAGAAAAATACGAACACTGACATTACCACCGATAATGCTTTCATGGAAGTCAAGGAATACTCATTAAGAAAAAATTACGTTTTAATTATTCGCATACAGTCGGTTTGCTAGGTATGGATTCGTGTACTTGACTTCCAGATACACACTAAATGTGAAAGCTATTGAAACTACCTGGTTATCTAAACTGAAGTTGATGGGGAAAAGTTTGATCTGGTGCTTTGTGACAGAAAGTTGTACACCCAAACCACTGAGCTATATATACGTCAATTATGTATATATTTTACTCTTGCTCTTAACCCCGCAGTTTTATATAACTTAATATTATTTTTTTAATTGCTGAAACTGTATTGGTTGATATCAAGTTTTTCTAATTGACATTAACACCGTTGGTAGGTCCTGGGTTCGAATCTCGCGAGTGCGGGATCGTGGATGCGCACTGCTGAGGAGTCCCATAATAGGACGAAACGGCCGTCAAACAGTGCTTCCAGGTTTTCCATGGTGGTCTAACTTCAATTGACTTATGATTTCAACTATCAATATACTGAAATCTCCACAAAACCTCTTCTGATCTATATCAAGTTTGTCTGAATGTTACGGTAATTCCATCGTTAAAAACTAAAATAACTAAATCACATATTTCCAATTACTTTATCATAAACTATTGACTATATCAATGGAAACCAATTCTGATTAAAAGTTTATCCAGATCACTTTGTTGATATAATTACTACTAATAAGTAATAGACTTTAATGAATTGTTTAGCACTTTTATTGATTGACTAGAATAATTTTAATTGTATTTATTAGAAAAAGAAAAACAGCTTTTTATATAGAACATGTAAAGTATTGGAGATAATGTATTGATCAACCAATCAAAATGATATAAGTTTTTTTTTTGAAAAAAAGGGATACAAAAGAAATCAATAAATATATTACTGAAATCGAATAAGGAATAAGGCCACATTATCTTAGTCATCATCATGTAACAAATTTCAATAGATTTGTTCATTTGTAAA